TATGGATTCGGTAGACGAGGTCATTAATCTTTTTCATGATTTTGTATGGACCTTCCCACAAGTTCCGCAACTTCGGTGATAAACCACAACGTCATTTAGGATTGTACAGCCGAACTAGGTCACCGTTTTCGAAACCTCCAGAATTCGCCTTGATGTCATAGGCCTTCTTTATCCTATCGCTGGCACTCCGGATGTTCAGATGGACTCGTAAATGGATGTCGTACATTCTCTGCCGAAGCTTGCTGACATGATCTTCCCCGGCAGTGTCTTGTTCTGGCGGCGTCCCAAATTTTGGGTCGCAAGGAAGCCTCAGCTCTCGGCCCATTATAATACTGGCAGGGGTTTGGCCGGTTGACTCGTGCACTGCCGAACGATAGGCCAACAGGAACAGGTGGAGGTACTGGTCCCAGTCTCTTTGATGGTCAGAGACTACCTTGGACAAGTGGCGGTTTATGGTCTTATTCATTCGTTCCCTCATTCCATCGGACTGTGGATCTAAGGTTGTAGTTCTGGTCTTTCGAATGTCCAACTGTTTACATATTTCTTGGAACAGGTTGGTCTCGAAATGTCTGCCCTGGTCCGAATGCAGCTCCAATGGGACATCGAATCTACATATTCATTCCTTTACCAGGACATCTGCGACGGTAAAGGCTTCCTGGTTGGACAGGCATAGGCTTCTGCCCACTTACTGAAGTTGTCCATGGCTACCAGGATGTATTTGTTTTATGGTCGGATTCTGGGAACGGGCCGGCGATGTCGATGGCGATTCTCTCAAAGGGACTACCCACGTTATACTGGCGCATTGGAGCTTTCGGTGGTATCCGAAGTCCGTTACTGGCAGTACATACAGCACACGTTCTGCACCAGTCCTTGACGTCGGCTTGACAACTAACCCAATAAAACCGTTGTCTTACTTTTTGGAGGGTCTTCGTTACTCCCAGATGTCCTCCAGTGACTCCATCGTGGAATTCTTTGAGCACCTTCCGTCGTCTGTTCCTGGATACCACTGTCTGGCGCCTTTCTTCTCTACCGTCTTCAGACTACAATAACCGTTGTAGAATCCCGTTTTCCAAGCCAAGGGAGTTCCATTGTGCCCAGTAGAACTTAACCGCTGGCGAATAACCTGCTGCTTCCTGCCACGATGGTCTTCGGTTACTTGTCTTCCATCCGATGACTAAACCAAGATTTGGGTCTTCTTCTTGGTCTTCCTTGATCTTATTATCCTCCCAGTTGTCGTCTACAGCTCTAGTTCTACAAATGGCTGTTTCCTTCTCTTCTGCTCTTCGGCAATGTGAGCAATCATCGGGGCATGGTCTCCGGGTCAGGGCATCTGCGTTTTTATGGCTAATCCAAGCTCGATGTTCTATTTCGAAGTCAAATTCTTGTAGTCTCTCAATCCAGCGCGCTACTTGGCCCTCGGGATTTTTGAACTGCAGAAGCAATTTGAGAGCTGCATGGTCGGTTCTCAACAGAAATCTTCTTTCATACACGTATTTGTAGAAATGCTCTACACCTTTGACAGCTCTCGCCTGGTGACATAATAATTGCGCTCTGGTTTACTGTGCGTTTTGCTGAAGTAGCCAATAACTTTCTCCTGTCCATCCTGGATCTGAGAAAGGATTGCTCCAAGTCCCACGTTGTTGGCGTCCGTATCTAAAATGAACTTTCCGTCCGGTAGGGAAAAGCTCAAAACAGAAAACAGGAGCGTTGATCAAAGCTCTTTTCAACTTATTGAATGAGTCTTGGCATTCCTTAGACCACTGGAACTGGATCTGCCCTTCTGTGAGTCGGGTCAATGGTTTGGCGATGTTGGCAAACCCCAGCACATATCTGCCGTAGTAGTTGAACAAACCAAGGAAGCTCCGAAGCTGATGTATGTCTTTTGGATTAGGCCACTCCTTAACTGCTTTGATCTTTTGTTCGTCTACCGCCACTCCTTCCCCAGAGACAACGTGGTCAAGGTAACGGACTTCTTTCTGGAACAGATGGCATTTCTTGGGACTAAATTTCAATCCAGACCTCCTCAGACACATGAATACCTCCTCCAGATTTTTCAAGTGATCGTCGAACGGATTTCCGACCACGATTATATCGTCGAGATATACTAGAGACGTCTTCCATGAGAGCCCCTTGAGAACCGTCTCCATCAATTTCTCGAAGGTTGCTAGAGCATTACAAAGCCCGAATGGCAGGACCTTGATCATCTTTTCACTTCTTCCATGAAGCACCAGCTCTTCTCCGCCGACACGTAGGACGCCGTCTTGAAAATTCAGCTCGAACCCTCTGGAATTCATTATGTCCATTCCAATAATCGCATCGTCCTCGATGTCCGCCACCAATGCACGATGGTTCAATTTAGTGCTGCCCAACACCAATTCAATTGGTAGTTCTCCAAGTACAGTAGCTGGCTCCCCTATTGGGGTGCGTAGCTTCCAACTTGACGGTTCAATTCTTGCCGGTGTTTTGGCAAAGGTTGGCCAAAGAATGGCTCTCGTCGCACCTGTATCTAGCAGCATGGTGCAAGGCTCGTTGTTGATGAGGCCGTCTACGAAAACACCTTTGTCTTGTCGTTGGAGAATGGCAATATATGCGTTTTTTACGGGGGCTTGCTGAGTACAGGCCGACGATTGCCCCTTCTCATCGACCCCCTCTAGTTTTCCTGATTTGGTATCGATTCTTTGAACGCTGGACATTTGCTACGCACATGCCCAATTTTTCCACAGTTCCAGCATCTTATTTGTTTTCTTTCGGGCAACACTTCTTTCATTGCCTTTCTGATGGTGGCCTCAATATCAGCAGGCACCTATCCATCTTCCTCGATAGCTCGAACTTTGCTCTGGCTCTTGCAGGATTGTTTTGCAGTCTCAAACTGCAGAGCGCTTGCCAGTGCATCCACGACATGTTTGGGATGAGCTGAACTGCTAACCGCTCCATTACATTTTCCGGTATAGCAGGATATGCCAGACGAACCAATCAAGCATTGTCTGTTTCAAATTCCTGTAGAGATTATCCTGATTTCTGGCAGCGGTTCTTCAGCTGTGACTGGTAAACGTACTCTAAGTGGGCCTGCCCATACCGTAGCTCAAGATGTTTTCTAAGTTGGTCATAGTCTTCCTGTTCTTGGGCCGTGAGGGTTAGCAAAATATTAGTTGCTACCGCCTTTTCTCCTGCATTCCATTCATTCGCTCTGGCCTCAGCTTCGAATTGTCGGCGGTAATTTGCCCAAGGAGTTTTTCTATCGAACTGGGACGGCTTCATGGAAAGCTTTCTTGATTCAGAACTGCCTTTGACATCTTTCATTGACTTATGAAGTTTTTCCATGTTGAAACTCAGTTCCGGAATTGAGCTTTCGGTAACAGTTTATGTGGTGTAGGCAGAATTAACGATTTGGTTTTGCAACTTGCTAATTGTTTCCTTAATCTTACTTATTTCTGCCTGAACTCCGTTTTTTATTTCCTTTACTTCTGTGTTCATTTCCTTCCTGATTTCATCTATCACTGTCTCAGTGGTTCCTATCCTTTCTTCGAGTAGTCTCACCACACTACAAAGTTCTTTCTTCAAGCCTTCTGCATTTTCTAGAAGTTCTTCCTTCAAGCTATTCGAATTCTCTAGAAATTTATCTTCCAAACTTTTCGAATTTTCCAGAAGCTTGTCTTCCAAACTCTTTGAGTTTTCCAGAAGCTTCTCCTCCAGGCACTTCGAATTTTGTTGAAGTTTTGCGAAGCTTGTCTTCCAAACTATTCGAATTTTCCAGAAGTTTCTCCTCCAGGCACTTCGAATTTTCCAGAAGCTTCTCCTCCAGACTTACCGAATTTTGTTGAAGTTCATCTTTCAGCGATTTGGTATTCTCATCGAGTTTGCTCATTATTGAACTCAAATCACCCCCAGAAACTTCAAATAAATATGTTTCGAGATCTTCTCCTGATTCAGTCAAGTTATCCCATAGTCTCTTCTGGAGTACTGATTTCTTTCCGGAACAATCTAGCTCCTTCTCCTCCAATTCTTGCTTCAATTCGGCGACTTTCTGGTCCACAAAGCGCACTTTCCTCGAACACATTTTGTCTCTTATTGTCTATTTTCCACAAAACTGTATATGTTTATCACTTATTTTAATCGAGTCCGAAAACACTTATTTATTTTCACACGTCTATTTTTTGCGAGAAAGGTCTGTCAGTTTATATTTCCGGTGTCCGGTTCTGTCCACTTCGCGAAACATATAACGAATCACCAGTCTCTCTTTGCGCCCAAATATTAAGTCTTATGGTCAATTTCACCGCAAAACAAAGATTGTCCACTAAGTGCTCATACATTTATTTTAAAAATCCACTTGTTGATCACCAATTGAAACAAATTAAAAGATTAACTGTCTTAAACAAATTTATTTCTACAAACTAATTTATATTCAACACTTAGCAACTGACGCTTAATTTATTTCCACTATTTGAATTCCTTGTTTAACTACTCGATTCACTTTCTGAATTCAACTGCTCTCTCTGGACGAATAGCCGGCCTTATATATCAGCAACGATCGTTCTAGAAGTCTATAGTCGTTCGGTACTCGCCTAGAATTTTCCTGGTGGTTTCAGACTGCATTCTTTCGCGGTGAGTCATGTATTTATTCGATGAATCGGCTGGCGTATGGGTCAAGGGCGGCTTCAGATTCGTTACATTATTGATCAGTTTCTTGAGAGAAGCTTTTTTATTTTCTCAATTATCATATAAAACTGTGGGAGACTTCCGTAAACATAAGGAAATAACTTCAATAAAAACTTATTGTAGATCATCATGTATCCCAAAGAAGTTTTTTCTTATTCCTAGTTTCAAAAGACATGCTAATAAGGTCATTTAGGGCAACCCTCGGTCGTACGAATTTGAGACTTTTTCAATCACCAATGATAAAAGGAAACTTTATCGTTTAACTTTTTGAAGAGTTTTAGTTTTGTAGATATTGCGTCTGGAATACTCGTGATACGCCACTGGGTGTGTGACTTTAGTTGGTTATTAACTTGAGTTTGACCTGAGTCTGAGTCATCCCACTTACCATTTCAAGAGAAATAATGTTCTGTTACTGTTACATTCTTTTAACCATTCCTACCTTTGGGGTGGGACTAGGCCATGACGTTAAAGTTAACTTTTATGGTTTTTACAGAATATGACTACCGTAGGGGAATTAGGTATTTATCAAATTTCTTTTTGTCTCGGATTAGATCTGCGGTTATTTATTTATATGATAATTATTGCATATTTATAATTATTGTGTAAACAGCTGTTTGATATGTTTTACAGTTACTGAGAATCGAGAAGATATTCCTTTGAAACAAGGAAAGAAATCAAGGAAATGGTATGCCTGTAACGAGGATTTATTCAGTGGTTCCAAGTATATCACCTTTGCCTTCAGCACCTTGACCATAATTATCACTTTGGCCCTGCTCATACAAATTTATTATGGAGACTATCAAGTAAGTTATACTTTCTAAATGTACTTGTGATGAACTGTTTGGAACCTTTGGTGTAGTTTTTTTTCCAACACCAAACCGTTATTTTAGATCAGTTTGATCTTCCTGGTGTTGGGAAAAATCTCCAGTAATATTCCTTTCTAAATGTGTACCAATATTTTTTGACTACTTAACAATAAATAAATTAACAAAATATGTATGTAATAATTGGTACCTAATCGATGTATCCCTGTAAAAATGTTTTATGTGAATCAATTCATCTAATATTTTTCCTCCATCTTCTCGGATATTCAAGGGTTATATCCTGGGTGCACAAAGTTCAATCTGTTAAAATTGACATAAGCCATCCTTAGATATCGTATTAGTTTCTAAAAACTGAAACATAAAGAATCGATGAGAATCAGCCTTCTTCATCAGAAAATAATTGTAGAGGAATTATGTCAAAAATTTACACATTTAACCTGTGATATTTTTGAGTCTATAAAGTCTCCGCAATTATTAATAGGCCAAGATATTTACAGGCTTATTATTTTCAAATAAGTTACTCGGACAAGGTTATCTGAACCAATTATATAACTAATAACATTTAGAGTGGACAATAAATGTAACTAACAATGGAATGAACAAAACCAAACAGATGAGTCAGTGTTGTCTGTCGTCTTATACACGATAAAGAACCTTCAAAACTTGTCAAAGATAGTTCTGAATTTAGATTCGCTTATACAGATATTATATCTTTTGAGAATAAGAAAGCAGTTCATTTGGGAAAAAATATTTGGAGAAGTTTGATGGATCACTACAAGGGGGCTCATTTATGGAAAAATGAGAATGTTCATTCCCATATATTTGCCTAGTCAAGGATAGGATTCTTGAGCAGCAATGTAAAAACCAAGGATAAAACTGGAACCTTTGGTGTACAATGAATCCATAACAAGCAGTTTTCCCAATCACCAGAACTGTATTACTCTCCTCAACACGCGTTTTGCCAACCAACTTGGCATCCACTTGGTTGGTGAAATGCTCGTCAAAATGAGTATTGCAGTTCTGGTGTTTGGGATAAGTGTTTGTTTTGGATGCTAAAGTTAATTCCTATGATTTCACACTTTATAGAATTCCCGAGCCGCATGAGTCATGATATTGGGTTGAAATATCCATAATCGGTAATTCAAATGAAGCAAAGTTTTGAGTTGTTTTGATCTGAATTCTGAATAACAAAGTGCATAACAAATCCGAACAGTTTAGATCACATGGCAAGATTTTGTGTAGAAATAGTAGATCCCTTAAAGTCCTACGTTCCTCAAATCCCAATTTGTAAGCACAGATACATAAAAATTGATTCTGGACTGATTATATTTTATTAATAATGAGACCATACAGTTGATGCATATTCTAGAATTGATCTAAAATAGGTCGGTTCTCAATGATTTTCTATTCAAGCCAATAGAATTCCTACTAATGAAACCCAGTAGTCGTAGAGACCTATAACTATAGAATTCATGTGATGAAGAAAAGAGAATTGAAACTTTCTATTTTTTTTACCACTAAAACTAACGTTACTGCAGTTTCGTCCTATAAGGACATTTGCAAACTTTTACCTAACCTAGAATGAGCTAATTAGAAAACCATGGTGGAGATATTGAAAATTTCGCTTCCTTAGAGGAATCAAAGGATTGATGGCATTGTTAATTATATTGTAAAAAGTATCAACCGCGTAGTCACCAAACAAGTAAATGCTATCAGTATATGAGTTAGATATCTATTCAACTAACAAACGGTGATTAATATACGAATTTACAGCAGATTTAAAAGGAAGATATGCCAAATCAATTATAATAAACTTTCTCCTAATGCCAACTCTCACAAAGATTTGCTCGATATTGTGAGAATCAGTAGTAATTAGCTTTGCTTCAAAACCTTTCTTAACTGCTATCAGGACTTCACCAACTCTATTCATATCACACATTTCATAGTTACAATGAATTCTTAAAATATTATATTGACACAAATTAATTTTCGCATCAAATAAACCATTATGAAGCTGAGTCTAAACTAACAAAATTACATCTAGATTAGACCTGATTGCCACCTGACTAAATTTATTAAGCCTTGTTCGCAAAGTGCCAGCATTCTAACAGTAAATTGACACTACATTAGCCTTAACTAGTTTTTTTTTCGTTACAGAAATTTGAGCTCGTTTCTTACTGTTGCATATTGTAGTTATTGCCTTGGTATTCTGTTAGGGGCTATTATATAATATGAGTCAGATATCTTCTGCTTGTTAACAAAGAGCATGTTGTACCGTTAGTTGAGAGTTTATGACTACTTGGTCTTAATCTGGAGCTGGACTTCCCTGTTTTGGGCATACAACCTTGACATCATGAATATGGACATTCACATTTCTCAAAATCTCATCACTTTTTCCAGTGTTATATGACACCTTTTCTGAGATTTGACTACTGGATTCAGAAACGTTAAAAACAATTAAATTGTTAGCTCTTGGAATGTGCTAAGGGACTTCCTTCAAAATAGCCTCTTCATTAGCAACTGGACATCCATTCATTTCAACATAATAAAAAGCTCATTAGTATGCAAATAAATTCTTTTTTTTTTAAGATGATGTATGCAGGCAACATATTTGACTGTGATCTTCGCTATGGTTAATCATTTTCCCATCAATCACTTTAATATGCTTTTTCATCAACCTATTAAAAACCTAACTTTTGAAAATAGTTCATCATCCTCATTTAAGAAAGAAAATAGGATTGGGTCGTGGAGGCTTTCAATGAAGAAACAGGCCTTCTGCCGTTCAAAATATAAAATGAAATCTTCGGCTGAAAGCTCTGCACACTCTTTATAATACCACTAAGAACAGTTTGTACAGCAAATACTGCCTTTTATTACGATTAAATGGCATTGCAGACACCTCATATATTAGAAATGTTCCACAGAAATAAAAAAAATATGTTGGGATCACTCCGAAGCAAAGAAAACTATAATATATACTCAAAAAATGTAGTTTAAAAAGTTTAGAATTTCTTTGAAATATGAGCATGGGTTGAACTGGCTAATGCATTTAATCACTGTATAACTAGCCTTAAATTAGGATATACCCAGTTTTTCTAAAACATAAAAACTTACTGATCCATCAACGCCTGTATCAAAGTATTCTACACACTGGATTATTGAAAAGTTAAATTTTCAAGATTGTTCTCTAATTATCCTTCAGAAAAATGCATTTTTTTTGAGTAACAGAAACTTGCACTCATCTTCATGTCGTTTGATAAGGATAAAATGAAAATTATAGAAATGGTCCCCATTCAATCTACATTACCATTCTAATATCAATTTCCGAACGATTATCACAGAATATAACACAAATGTACTTACTCACCAATATTATCAAATGATTTTGAGAAAGGTGAACAGAGTTAATTTCAAGTTATTATTGAAAAACTAAAAAGACTTTGGATTGGTAGAAAACATACTGCACCTCATTGGACAGCCCATTAGGCCCTGTGGTGCATGAAAACATTTGAACAATAGGCCTTAGAAACCATATTGTTCGCTGTTTTTCGTAGAAGATATGATCATGGTATGGTAGCGTGGTAAAGAGCAATTGAAAGAATTTTTTTTATATCTGACCTCAATCAAAAATACAATTAAGGATGGAAGGGGAAACCCAAGGAACGATCGCCTTCTTGGGTGTACCAGTGAACAGACATGAAGTTGGGAAATTAGTTCTTGCAGTGTATAGGAAACTCATGCACACAGACAGGTATCTGAGTAAAAACTGCAACCACCAACCAAGACACGTATCTGTGAGATTTTTTCCACAGAACTGTATTATCTGAATAAATCTAGTACGGTCAATAGACTTAGGTCATTCTTGTCCCCCAAATATGAGTTGCTGTCTTCGTGGTTCTGGTTCCCTTTCAGTGGAAGAGCTCCATGAAGCAAGAGCCAAAACCCTTCATCACTTGGAAGGATCGATCGCAGAAATGGTTCTTATGCAGATTATGTGAAACATGTTCTACCTTACGAATCAGTGAGAGTTGTCCCGAAAATTTTGAGAAGAATATTGGATTAGATAATTTAGGAAACACTTGCTACATGTATATCATTTCACAAATGTTGTTTATGACAAAGAATTTTAAGAACGAGGTTTTAACGATGAACGAGAACGTTTCCTTCTTATTCACCAAACTCAAACACCTGTTCATGCAGCTGCAGTTTCGTAAGAATGTATCATCGTTCCCTCCAACCGATTTCCTGGATTCTTTGAAGTTCTCTAGATATTCGTTAGGACAACAAGAGGATTGTTCTGAATTCTGGGGGTTCTTGTTGAATACTTTTTGTGGGCAAAATAATAGCAGAATCAATACTCCTGACCGCTCTGGATTGAATGATTCCATGCAGTCCATCTTGTCTTGTGTTTGTAAATCTTTTGCTGAAAAAATCCTCACTTGTTTACTTTGTAGTAAATGTTAAAGAGGTAGCGTTAAGAAGGTCCGTACAAAGCTTATTGTTAAATCATCTGAAAATGTCATTTTTAACAGGTGATGATCGACTGTATTGCCAAACATGCGCCAAAATAACTGACTGTTTAAAGGAAACAAGTATAGCTGAGGCACCAGTCAATCTAATAAACACTGATGATCTTCAAACAAGACTCAACCTCTGACGGAAGCACCAAACTCTTTCGATGGTTCCAAATAGATGAACACTTCAATCTAGCAGACCACTATTATAATATTCATGCAGTCATTGTTCACTGTGGTTCTGGCGTTGAATTTGGTCATTATTACGCCTTGGTCAAAGACGAAACGGACTGGTTTAATTTTCTGAATGATTGGGCCGTTACTTGATGAAGATTCATAGTAATTTCAAAAAATACACCTCACGATTTGATCTCCACAAACTTTATTTGAAAAATATATCACATGTTTCGCTAGAACAGTAGCTTTTCAAGTGATTTATGAAAAATTGGTTTAAGTTTGACGATAGTCACGAAGTGTTCTGGCGATGTATTGAATTTATTGGAGCCTCTGGAGACATCCTACATTTTGTTTTATGAGAGAGAGGACCAAGATCTTCCGATGATGTGGTGCTGCAGGTTTTTCCGGGTTTGTCTACAGCTGAAAAAGCAGATGTGCCATTGGAATCAATGAAGTCGCCCCGGAACGCCCATTAATTTTTATTGTTGTTTTAAAATTTGTAAAAATTAGGTTATTAACTGAAGTACCTATATCTAAAAAAATAATCACGCTCAAAAACACGCTTTTAAAGAACATCAGCCTAATACTAGTATTAAATAAATACTAGTATTTTTCGTTCGTTATTGTTTTAAGCATACTTTTTTAAAATATTTTTAACTTTTCAGTTCGATGTTTTTTAGTTCCTTAAACTATATTTTTCATTTTTTAGTTTCGTATGCTATAAAACCGTGTTTTTTATTCTTTTTAAACTATATTTATTTTATCTAAACTTTGGGATCAATCAGCCGCATATTGTTTAGAAAAATTATCATTGATATTTTCCGATTCCGGAGAGGGTTCATTTTTTAGTTTCGTATGCTATAAAACCGCTACAATGTCCAAAACCAACATTACGCGTACACACCAGATCTGCAACACTCTTCTTGAGGCCATCCAGGCCATCAAAAAATAACTTAATTTAGTCTAATCTCTGATATTAGTCTGATTCATCTTCTGTGACCACGTGAAAATCGCGTCAGTCCTGGTGTATGGAAGCAGTGATTGTTTTAGATTTATGCTATGCTAGAGATTCTAGTTTCGGTCAAACAGGAAGGTTGAAACGTCCAAAATTCTCGCTGTTTTTAGAAAAGTGGATCACATTTTTAAAACTCTAATTATTATTCTTCCTCAGTACCTTGGTTATTATAAAAAGCGACCGCGTTGGAAGTAGGAAAGCAATCAAAATCAAGAAAAATATTAATTTATCAAATAGAATTGATTTATTTTTTGCAGAAATTAAAATTTAAAGCTTGAATTTCAATGATGAAGGAATTAAAGAGTTATTTAAACTGTTTTTCACATTATTTCCTAACTGAATTGGCCTTGGAAATGACGAAATTGGCATTTATATCATTTTGAAAGTAAATTACCACCTCAGAAAATTCTCTCTTCAGTACCTTAGAAGACCTTTTTCAGCAAATAGTGGTACTTTATCGGCCGTAAATCCTTCAATTTCAAAGTGCTCTCTTATCGTATAATTTTCTTAATGCTGTTATCATTTTTTTTTTTAATTAACCTCTTATCCTTTATTTCTTTGACATTCTAGGCAAACCCCCCGAAAATTTCATAAATATGCAAATTTTGTATTTTTCACACATATAACATCCCATATTTTGGAATAGCAATCTTGACTTATATTTAATTTTAGTGAAACAGACAACGAATATTATTTTTGCTTGGAGCAGTTGATTAGCCAGATTGGTTTCTGCTCTGAAATTTGGTGGCATATGATTATACATTTTCTGGCTTCTATATATGAGTAATTTTTTTTGTGAGAGTAGTTTTGCTTATATTGTTAAACATATATTATTGCTAGGACACTGGACAAGTCCATTGAATATCTTTGAATCTGAAAGCCCAATCAATAGGAATTGTATTTCTTGAATATTAAATTGAAGTTTCATTCATTGATTGTTATTATTATCTTGAGCTAAACATAAGTCAAAGTGAAATTTCAAATGGAGCTATTAATAAAAAATTTCAATATGATGCGAAATTCACTGGCTGCATTGTATAAGGCATGTCTCATAATAAACTTTATTTTACAGGTAGTGCCACATGGTAGTGTTGCTACAGACAGTTTAGAATGTTCGAAAATAGGAACTACAATTTTGAAAAATGGGGGAAATGCAGTAGATGCTGCTATAGCAAGTGCCTTTTGTTTGTCAGTTGTCACGCCTCATGTTACTGGGCTTGATGCGTAAGTTATGTTTGCTAATACAACAAATGAGTTTACATATGTCATTTTTGCTTTAAAATTATTTCTTATTAGACAGGAGACAATTTTTTCTAAGCACTGTTACCAATTTTTCAAAACACTATTACCAAGTTTTCAAAACATCAAAATATTGAATTGAAGGGGTTATATTTTTAGGAGTGATTAATTTTTGGGAAAGAAAGTTTTTGGCTTTCTACTACTCCATCTTGATACAAAAAAATGTGGGAATCTTCCAAAGAAAGTAAGAAAGTTATCAATTTGAAAATAAGTAACTCTATACATAGATGTGTAGATCATGCTGAGTAGAGAAAAGTATCTTCTGTATAATTCAGTGTTCATATGAAAGTATTTATTTCGAAAGATTTTTTTTTCTCTCATGTAATTCAATGTTTATATAAAAATAGCTGTTTCAGGAGGGCTTTCTTCCAGTTTGTGTCTGAAAGTTGCTTCTTTGCATGATCTACACATCCACTTATAGAGTTACTTATTTTCAAATTGATTACTTCCTTCCTTTCTTTGGAAGATTCCCACATTTTTTTGTATGAAGATGGAGTAGTAGAAAGCCAAAAACTTTCTTTCCCAAAAATCAAAATATTATATTAAGACTGAATACTTCACATCTTAAATGACCATCAGTATGATTGCTGTCATCTATCTTTGCCATAATTCAGTTGAGAACCAAAGTCACAGAGGGTATTGAGGTGTTGTGCTATCAAAATGCTTGGTAGTATCTGACCTGAGGGTTCACTAACTAAACATTTATGACTCCACATCTTTCTCAAAGAAAGAAGTTTTTTTTCAAATATATTTGTCAAAAATACTGATATTCCCCAAAGAACAACCCGACCAACAAGGCGACGGTAATTGAGTAGAATTTAATGATGAAAAACTCTGCTGTTAGATTTCTTTAAGAAGCTGAAACTGTTAGAACCTGACATGCGAGAGTACTATGGACTTTCCTGTGTCGATTAATCTGCTGGTTATCAGTACCATCCGTCTGATTGGAAACATAAACATTACATGCAACCTTTTTATTCTGGAACATCAAATGAGGAGTTGGGAACTACAGCTGCCCATTGCTTTGAGGTTCAAAACTTCTTAAACAATTCCTTCCAGAAATTCTTTTATTTGGAAAATCAACCTTTTATGTGGAATAAATTATTCGAGTGAATTGGTTAAGGCTTTCGCGGCCGAGATTTTCAGTGTTATTATCTTCATTCGGGTTTGAAGGCCGTCTTACTTTGGAACTGCATGCTAACGTTTCGCCGGCACGAGTGGCTGGCTTCTTCAGAGGTTTATTCATCTTGATGATTCACCTATGACTGGTGATTTGTAGTTCGTAGGTTGTATTTGTGTTGACTCAGGTAATCCGAACATCGCAGAAACAAAATTAGGTCAAATAAATAAATTGGCAGTACCGGAACACACGGTTACTGAAGGAGATCACAGGATATTGTTTGAAGATGTGAAACTACTTGCCCCAGATCATGGATACCACAATCGGCTTGTACGGGAAGCCATAGAAATCCATAAACTTACGGAAAACTACAACAGAAAAGAGGAGGCGGTAACGCTTAACCGAATTTGGAATGCCATACTAAAAGATGCTTAAGTGGCAACAGTGCAATGCAATATCACATCATTAACATGTAATAACACTTCGGCCACTAGCAAGGCATCAACAAGAGTGGCGGACTACCTGAGTCAACATAAATACAACCTACAAACTAGAAATCACCAGCCATTGGTGAATCATCAAGATGAATAAACCTCTTATGAAGCCAGCCACTCGTGCTGGCGAAACGTTAGGATGCAGTTCCAAACTACTATAGAAATTTAAATTCAATACGCACAGGCACCACTCTCTGAACCCTAAGGGTATTTCTGGCATTGCTTATATACATATAAGTAAAAGAAAAATAAATATGTCAACCTTGTTGAACAATTCCCATGAACCTATCTATAGAAAAAAGATTATTTTCAACCTTATTAATGTTCATTATGCAACAAAAAAATCATTAGAGCAGTTAGCAGAACTAATGAAATGAAAAGGAAGAACTGGGACTCATAATTAACATTTCAAGATATTCAAACTATGAATTCAACAGATAAAAACAGAATATATAAAGTATAATTATATCTTGCATCTTATTCGTTAATTTTTTTTACAGAGAAGGCCATTTATTGATTTACGATCACAAAACAAGACTCCCACCAAATGTGATAGATTTCAGTGATTCATCAGCAGTTTCAGAACATTTGCCCAGATTGATCTTAGGATTAGCTTTTACACATAAGCATTTTGGAAGATTACCATGGAAAGATTTAGTGGAACCTGCTGCATTATTAGCCAGGTAAAATTGGCGTTATATAGATTACCCCTGTATCAAACTTCTTACTATACTATTTTTGTAATAGAATAGAAGTTACATGAGTTGAATAAGATACTTTGTATAAATAGTTTCTGATACTTACAAGGGTATACTCTCCTGAATGAAGTGATATTTTTCATTGTTTTTTCACAGACAAGGTTATGTGGTTTCACCCATGTTGGTTAAAGCAATTACCATTTCAAAATCCGAGGATCTCTATGGTCGGTTAGAACCAGGTCAACTTTTACTGCAAGAATATTTAGCAGCAACACTTGATAAAATTTCCAGTATATCAGAAGATGGTATAAATCCATTATTGACCTCTATTATCATCTTAATAACTTTTTTTTTCAGAACTATATAACTTTTTGAATGAAATGAATAGACCACAAATAACCCAAGCAAATCAAGTGACTTTCAATAAACATTATGTGTTTGTTCCATCCAGTACCTCTGTTGGACCTTTGGTGGGACCTGCTTTGAACAAAATTGCAAAATTAAATTTCACCAAAGAGGAAAGTCAGCAACCAGAATATTTATATCATTTGGCTGATATTTCCAAAACAATGTTTATTGAAAATCAAATGGACCTAAAATTCCATCACGGTACTTTTTCTAATGTTGCTGTTATTGATAAGGATGACAAATATGTATCTCTTGTAACGTAAGTTAATAACATACACCACTCACTTACCATCCTTTCACTTTTCATTAATGAAAACCTTGAATTTGCCATAAATGGTTGTGTTACTTTTTTTTTAACAACAGTGTATGAATGTCCCAATACTAGTCTAATTATTAAAAAAAGTAAAATTGAATTAAAAGTTTGGTCTATGTGCGAGCTATAATAATATTGCTGTTATATAAGGTATAATTTCATATAATTTTTAGTGGTATGTATGGATTATTTGGTTCGGGTGAAATGACTGCACATGGCTATGTTTTGGATGTTAAAAATAAAACAAAACCAAGTAGCAGAGTAGCTATGATAGTAACTGATGGAATCTTGATATGTGGCAGAAGAATGGTGTTTGGAGCAAATGATTTGACATCATCAACTGAAATGATAACTTCTTTATTGACAGCAAATGAAAATATCACCGAAAGCATTGAAGCGCCTAGATTTTATATTCTCACCAATGGGACTATGGGAACTGAAAGTAAAGTTATTACTCAAGTTTGTAACATTTTTTATTTGTTATTTTTTAGGAGCACACTCCCCCTATTTCAGTAATGAAACGATAAAATACTTCAAATTGATAACCCCTGATCCAATTCCAATGGCTGAACCATACCAAAGTATTAATATTGTAGAAAAAGTCAAGGATAATTTAAGCTCCCATTCTGATAGTAGAGGCGGGGGAATCGCTGTTAGATTTTGAAACATTCTACTGGTACTTTGGCTGTGGCATTTTTTATTAATAAATTCATGCTTTCATGTTTTTTGTACTAAGTACTTAATAGTTCTTTAATGATTGTAACTCAAGTTTTTACAAATGATTTTCTCTGGCTGTGAATATACTATTTATTGTTTAATTAGTAAATAATATTTATTACATTGTTATAAACAGTTTAAACTAATAAAATTAAAACACAGTGACATTATGTACTTTCATTCATCATGTATTTATTAGCTCAAACTATTGTTAATTCTTGATTGCTTCAGTTCAGTTGATTTCTTATAAACTTTTTGATCCTGAAATTTTAAAACTATCTATTGAACAATTTGTTTCAAAAATATTTACAATTTTTTCTTAATTATTCAAAACAATGGTTTCATACTCATGTACCTAATATAAAAAGATAATGTTTAAAAATATTAACATCAAATATTCTACCTGTTGTTTATGATGATTTGAAACACAAATAAAATAGATAATTAAAAATCTATTTAACGGTAGAGTAAGGTCGAGAAAAATAACATGAATTTTGATATAACATAAATTTTTATGATGGTCATATGAAAAATATTCAAATTAAGGATTTGCAGTCTGAAAAAATTTGCTTCCCGGATTAGTTCCAAAAAGACAATGAAACTGATGAAGGTGTTTTCAAGAAAACGACCCACAGGAGGCCTGATTTCAATTTGTATACTTTTTTAAATGATGTTCAGGTAATGGTAATTTACGCTTATCCAGATATTTTGAACTTATCTAATTTTATGAACTCTGTTGAAAAAGTGGAAATGTTTTGGTTGATTTCCGGATTTTGCCTTGGTCTTCTTCGGTTATAATCTCCAAACGTTTAAACTACAACTGCGGTAGTGGCGTAGTTGAAGTACTTTTCTTAACGTATCAACTGAATAAAGTTCAGTTGAAGAAGATCACGGCAAAACCCGGAAACCAACCAAAAAATTGATGCCAGCCGTGAAAGCCTACATTCCTATATAAAGTGGAAATTGATAAAATATGAATGTCTTATAATTCGAGCCTTGAAGGTAAATTCTGGAGTTTATTCCATCAAGGCTTTTTGAGGCCCTCTAGCATGATGAAGGTTGGTTTTCATAAGAATGACGCATTGTAACATCTGTATTTGTTCTTTAGTTTTGCAGTCTCATCCGAGTCTAAAACCTGACACATGATAGAATTGGATCAAAGTTGGTTTCAATTACATACAGTCCACATTTAGACTATGGTGAAGCTAGCAGTAGGTACTTAGCTACTGGAGGCCGGAGGTATACCATAAGTAAGGGGTCTGGAATTTGATGTATATTTTTGATCTTGACAAATTGGAATATGATCAGATCATGTCAATATCCTCCTGATGAAAGTTATAGGAGTTCAACTTCTCCAGAAATATATTAGAGGAGGTGAAATGATGTCAATTAGATCGACTGAAGTGTACTCATTATTTTCGAGGATTTTGATGATAGGTTCTATCAATTTATTGATGATAGCTCATAACTCTTACAAGATTGAAAATTCAATGCATAGTGAAAAATATTAGTAGGTACGTCTTACATGATGCAACATTAATGTTTAGTATAAATTATTATTACTAGCAGTATCAGAGGTGTCTAGAACTCTTGAATTTTTATTGGAAAAATACAGCATTAAAATATTTTTTGAACTTTAACGAATGTTCTGTCCATTGCAAACTTTAACTAACCTTTGTAGTTTATTTTCATAAGATACAGAATTCCTGTTCACGCTTCATTCACGGGGTTCGAGGGCGAGAAAGTATCTAATAAAAACATCATTTTCTTTTTTGACAATAATTGATTGTATAATTTAACTAATGACATACATTCTTTCCCTAACAAAAACATTTGTGCAAAAATTAAGAATTCCTATTCACGGGGTATCAGATTGAAGACAGTATCAACCTGATTCACCCAAATCAGAGGAGAAAAGCCTCCCTGGCTGAATTTAATATATCAGAGATGACAGCATCAACGTGATAGCATTAAGGTGGGAATCTATCTTCCTGAATCTATTCCAACGGTAGTGGTTGATTTCAGACATGCTCAGCTAGTTCCTTCCAATACAAATTTTACTCTTCCCCTTGGGAATGAAAGGAAAGTTTGATTACCCTTAAATTGTTTTTGTATTTAAAAATAATCATAAGTATCTCAACTCTAGTTTTAATTTCAATTTATTTACATTAAAATTTTGTAAACCTGACTTTGTACCTTGCCATTGAAATGAATGAAATTAACAAGTTCTTGCTGAGAACTTTTGTTTATCGTGATCTCATGAACTTTTTAGCAGAGTTTCAACCTATCACATTGAACAAAAATGTCCAGGAATATTTTAGTGGGTATCTGAAAGTTAATAACTAAACATGAAATTGGTGCATATATATTTTATGGAGGAAACTAACATTACATAAATAACTTAAAGAAAAACTTAAAATGTCTATCACAAAACTATATCACTAAAAAATATGGCTATATATTTTAAGACAAGCCATGTCAAATGATTATAACACACAACTCCATCAATATATTTATATATACAAAAACTTTATTTTTTCATGTTGAAAGTTACAAATAAGTCTTAGTAGAGGTCCAATACACTAAGAGAGTCCAGATGATGCACATAACTTTTAATATCAAGTTTACTCTAGAAGATAGAAAAAAAATTAAGTAATGGCTCATATAATATTCAAAACTTTAACAAGCATCCCAAACACCAGACTTCGCAAGACAAATACAAACTGGCAAAAAAATGTGAATTTTCACAATGAAAGCGAAGGTAAGGGACATTTATCTGGTTTTCATCATGAAATTTTTAAAATAAAACACTTCATAATTTATTTTTATTACGTGATCATTTTTGACTAGTGCAACTTGCATTGAGAAGTGCGCAAATATATGAGGATTCTATAGAAATATATGCACGTTTAGTAGTATTAAAATAATCATAATTTACTTACAAAATAACATATTTCAAAGGAATATTATTCTGCAAAAATTGTAAACAAAAGGAGATGAAATAGCTTATAATTTCATAAGCATACATTCTATTTCAAAATCAGTTTATAATTTCATAAGCATACATTCTATTTCAAAATCAGTTATTTTAGTAAAAAATTAGAAAAGCATTCGTGTAAAAACTTCAGTTGAGAATAGAAAACGAAGTTTACTATGGTAATACTAAGAATAGAGAGTAAATTGAGTGCATCCTGTCTCTATTATTGATTAGTTGAAATTGAAAATGAAACATAATAAAATATAAATATTGACAACACTAAAAAAATAATATCAGTATCATGAAAGTCATGGTAACTTAACCAATATTCTGAGAATTCAAATGAAAAAATACAAATGCAGAATAATATCAAAGATCAGTGGTGACCTTTCAAGCTGCTACAACTCTGAGAATCTTTAATTATAGGCACAGATTCTCTTCGAGATTCTTTATTGAATTTGTCATGTTTTAATGGCACACTTTCTCTCCTGACTATATTGACATGAGATATGAAAGTTGGAGTAGTATTTGGAATGTTCGAGTGGGCTACTGGAATATTGTGAAAATCCTTTTTATTTGCCACCTCCTTTATTGAAGTTAAAGTCTTACTGAGCCAAGGTGGCCAACTATTTTTTGCAGTGTTGAATTCCAATTCTGCTGCTCTCAACTGATGGGTCAAATTCTACAAAAAACAGATTGAAGAAATTAAAGAGCAGATTCAACATATTTATCAGTAAATGGTTGAATAAAAAAAGAAAAAACTATCAACTAATTTTATACTAAATATGATTTTAAATATTTTTCGAATAAACATTAATTTATAATAAGTAATGATAATAATAATTGAAAACACTTTTCCCTCACTAGAACAAAAATGCTGTTTCACAACGCGCGTTTCACTAACCAAGTTAGCATCATCAGGAGATGACTGAGACACACAGACTGATTCTGAGTCATCTTCTGATGATGCTAACTTGGTAAAAGAAACGCGCGTCGAGGGACAGCAATTTTGTTCTAGTGAGGCACAGACCGATTCTTAGTCACCTTTTAATTGTTTTAGTGAGGAAAACGTGCTTTCAATAGATTCATTTCACGCCAGACGTTCCAAATTCCATTTATCAAATAATAATAAAAATTCATTGCACATTTTTTGTATAAAGATGAAGAAGTAAAAAGCCAAAACCTTTCTTTCCCATATTCTTCAACTTATAAACATTTACAAACCTAGAATTTACACAATGTTAGATTCAGAATGTATGTTTTTATTATTCCCTCTATATATAGGTTTTCTATTTAGTTTTTTTTTGGGGTGTCATCGGCATCGACTACTTAGGTCATTAGCCTCGTGTCCTGGGTAGCACCATTAACAACTCTCCGAGCCACCTAGGGAGCATCATATCTATTCGCATTCCGTTAGCCATGTAACGTTGCAGAATCATCCCAGCTTCAACTAGATAAATTCTCTAGAGAAAAATATCTGGTCGAGGTTGAGATTGAACTCACGACCTTCTGGTCGTGAGTCGGGTGCATTACCACTGCGACAATTCAACGCTCTATTTAGTTTATGTGATGTCTGAAAATATTTCCAGAGTTGAAATAAATTTGTTAGAAAGAAGATTTTGATTAGAATTGTCAAATAAAAAGAATTTTAAAACGGTTCGACGTGGGTGCTTTGTTCACTCAGTCAATCGGCCGATGTGTGAGTAGATGGTTCAATCCCCAGGCTGAACGCTCGATTTTCACATGCTATTGTCCAACCCGTGTTAGAAATCACACGTTAAAAGGTAAGACCTCGTTAGTCCTAAGCTCGCATAAGTTTCGACTTCTGAGAGTTGTCATTCGTACTATAGCTAGTTAACGGAAAAAACATATTTTGAACTTTTTTTTTAAACATATTAAATGGAAATGTAATAAACCAATTACAATTTGTGCTTTATATAACCCACCTACTTAACCTCCTACCTACTTAATGACTGAAAAAAAAGCGATTTTGGTGTAATTTGAAAGTAACATCTACGCATGATCTACACATCTTTGTGAGTAGTTAATTTTGAATTTATTGTCTTCTTGCTTCGTTTGGAAGTTTTTCACGTTTTTTTTGTATAAAAATATACCCCTTTCAATTCAACCATAGTTTTTTAAATTCAAATCATCTTTTGACAGAGGGGCATGATTACAACTACGACTATGAAGTATTACATTTCGAAGAGTTTTACCCTAACTCATGTCAAATTATTAGTCATCAAGTAGGTAGGTCATATGATTCAAATCGCTATTATATAAAACAATAATCACAATTAGTTTATTACACATTCATTTAATGAGTCGTTAAGATCTTCTTTTATGATGTTTAAACATTTTTAATCAGCAGTTTCGACCCATACTCATTAAGTAGAATTTAATCAGTATAAAAATGCTTGAGAAAACTGTTGTATAGCGAAAATTTTACAAGCATGACTTGAATTACAGAAAATAGGTGCAACATTCTGAAGTACATTTTAAAGAGAAATTTTAAAAAAATCAATAAAAACACATTACTTCAGATTGCAAAAACCACCATACCTGAAGAGAGCTGGAATATTCGAAAATAGTTACTAGGTCAATAAATGAACCAAATTGCAACACAATAGCTTGCTGTTAATATTGAAAATATATAATAAAAAATATACCTTCAGTAAACATTTCTTGAATATCAGATGTTCAATATGAGTATGTATGTCGTTGTGGTAAAAGCAATATAGTTGTGTGATGGACCTGGCCGATACTCGATGAAAATCCATAACGTATTCAAGTACGAGTATTTTTTTTAAATAATGGAGCATTTCCGATCACTGTTGCGTTTGTTACAAGATGCAATTGGTCGTATCTCAATAGTTTACATTGAGGCCGCTAGATAGCAGCACTTCAATTTGTTGTATACTCAATGGCAAAGTCTGGCCCAATGAAAATAATTCATGTTAAGTTATTCATTTGTTGGCATCAACTACTGTGCACTTTTAATTCATATTGAAGAAGCACAGGTGACTCTTACATTTCTTCTTGTTAGTGATATTGGTGTTTTTTCTCCTTTTTTTATACCGGTTTAATGTTCTAACCTAATTATAAGAAACTATAAAGGAAATATTAAATGGAGAAAAGATAAATGAAACTTTCTATGTAATTATAATGCATAATTTTGAAAATGTCCTTATAGGACGAAACTGCAATAACGTTAGTTACAAATAAAAGTGGTAAAAAACATAGAAAGTTTCAATTCTCTTTTCTTCACTATGATCTCCTACCACGTAGTAACGGCTACATCCATCAATTTATTGAAATATTAAATTATTGTCTTCAATAGATTTATTCTCATACTCAGTCCCCTAAATGATACATTTCACTCAGTTGATATATATTTATCAATGACAATGACATTTAATTCTTACGTCCATTGAATTCAGTCTATTTTATTTCTATTCGGTTCAATTTTCCCCATATTATTTTTGCATTACGCATGTTTTTTGCAGTTCTATGCAGGTATTTGAATACTGTATAGCATATACTTAAGAGACATTTTTTGCGAAAGAGTCAGTGTTTCTTAACCCTTTTCGAGTTCATAATTTTCCATAATGTGAAAATGGAACAAAAGTAAACCAATACAGAATCTGCTGAAGTGTAATAATGGCAAAACTTGATTAAGTTTTGTAAATTTTTGAGATTGAGGAAGAAACTAACAACAATAAAAAACTGTAAAACATATAAGTTACATGATAAGTACCTGTGTGCATAAAATAATGCATAATTATCCTTTTAGACTTCAGTGGAAACTAATCTATATACCTATCTGCTTACATCATATACCTAAACTTTTTATAGTTGCAATAGGCAATATTATGGAATATTTGAAGGGGCTGTGATGAACAATACAGGATCTGAAGAGAAACTACATTCCGAATATTCCGACCTCAGTGATGGATTTAACGAAGTCTATCATCAGCCTTCCTTCTCACCTATTTCCAAAGATGGAAACTCAAGACTTCCAAGGGGTCTCTCTACCAGATTTGTCTGCTCCTGCATTTCACCTATCAAGAAAACGCTAAAGAATCAGTAATGTAAATCTATGGATTACAGAGCTTAACACGCATCTGAGGCTAGAAGAAAAAAGTTACATTTGTTTTGAAAATTATGAACAGACTGCCCCAAAACTACTTCTAAATTTCAGAAATTAGGTGGACCAAGTTAGAGACTCAAACGTGCTTCACTTACAGATGACAACTTTCATTTACTTTACTTACCGCAGATATTTCCCAATCAGTGAAAGAAGATCCAAAAGCTTTGAAATATTTTGAAGAATTTATGAAGGCACTCCCAAAAATTGAAACTCACTACTGCAGGGTTTCTTTATATGAATTATACTTTGAGCAAAACTGGGCCAGCTCCAGGGAGATGCAAAGCCATTTAATGGAAAAGTGAAAGCAAGAAAATGAGATGTCTTTTTCAAAGGGTACATTCTAATGTACCATTATAAAAATGAACTTGGATATCTACAAACCTAAAAAAAGTGTTGCCAACTGAGTGATGAATATTAAAATAAACACATTGAGAAGAAACGATTAGCACGAAAAGATAAGTTAGAGAGAAAAAGTTACCTGAGAAGAAAACAAGACCTTATGCTCTATTTATGAAACACTGACCCATTACTTGATGAAAATTATTAACATTTTCGATGGTAATTATACAGTTCAAACACTATAAATTTTATTCAAGACACGTTTTGCTACTCGGTAGCTTCATCAGTCACACTAGTACATCAAACTATTCTACAATGTCTCATATGGCAATAGATAATTGCAAAACTTGATTAGACAAATGATTAATTCTGGTAAAACAGGTAAATTTTGATAACACAATTACAATATAATATTACTTCTAGGAAATCACTTAATTTATAAATATGTTGACATTTAAATATTGGCATTTCCAGCCAAAACTTAATTAGGTGTATGATTAATTCTGGCAAAACAAACGCTTCTTAAATATAATTTATAGTGTGAGAATTGTATAATTATTATTATGGATAAGGCTTCACTGTTGATCTGTAAACATTATTGCTTTATCCTCACTTGAACGTGACCGCTTACTATTACAAAATTGAAATAAAAGTCCATTATCTCACATATTTCGATACGACAAATAAAAAGTGGATGGCTGGCGGTGGGTTAGAGATTAACTTTTTCTGCTCAATTACCATTAAATATTAGAAAAGCCAGCTTTCTGAGCACAAACCAAACCAGAATCGAAATTCCAAAATGATCCAATCATTATTAGACATGAGTGTGTAAGAGGGAGTAACAATTGAATAGGAATGGTTGGAGATCAGCCACGTTAGATGAAGGCCGACTCCATCCACGAAATTATTGGAAAAAAAACTAAGAAACAGAAGTGTATTTGCCAGCAGTTAAATTGAACATAACAAGAACTGTGGCTTCACCACAGACTTTTTAAAATTGTTCCTTTCAGAAGAATCAGGTCCGGAAGTTGAAAACAGGACACATGTGTTAATAACTTGGTTGGCCTTCAGTATACACCGAAGGAAGAAATGAATTACAAATTGTCTTTCAAAGAAAACATGTGCTCTTAAATTGGCGGAATTGCTGCATCACTCTGGACACTGTCCCATTGACAAAAAGAACAGAAACATTTATTCCGCGAGAGTACCATTCTTTTCATGATGATTTAATTTACAAATGAAGTATTGTTATTAGCTATTATTTTTCCCCTTTGGTTTATACTATTTAGATGCTTTAGTGCAAAAAAAGGATGTATGTCAATATCAATAACCAACATCTCCAAATAATGTGTCATATGTCATGATAACATTAAAGAGAAAATCAGAGAAAACCTTTCCTGTTCAATGCAACAAAACATTTCATTACAGATTTAAAACCCGGTGAGAAAAGTATTTTTGTAAGAGAACTCAGCTACAAACAATCACCAAATGAAATCTCATAGAAAAACATTTTTAATGAGTTTCGGCGTTTTATGTATTTGCCTCGTTGATCGCCGTATATTAATACTGTAATTGACTGTTGCTCGTGTTGTACCGTCTATATTATTTATGTGAGTATGTAGTTCGTTTTTATCATTATTCAACACATTTTTGTATTGAGATTTTTCTAAGATATTTTTGGCTGTGATAATATTGTCCGACATATTATTCCTCAGATAAAAAAGGGGAGAAATCGCATTATTTAATTTTTTTCATCTCCTGTAAACTCTATTGCTTTTACCAACTCTTTTGCGCTTATTTGAATTTCCTGTACAAACCATTGTAGTTTCTTGGGAATGAATAAATGTTTAATATATAGTATATAATCAAAACAACCCGTAAACATACTGCCAAATAGATGACATATGTGGAAAAGCAGTAAGATTTGTAAGAAAATAAATTCGCCTCTTGCTCATATAATCAATAACTTTTTGTCAGGAAAATATTCATTCATTCTAATGGTCTCGAAATCTCTAATGATTCATCTGTTAAATATTTGAAGAGTGCAAGGTTTTAAGTGAATCATTACACTACATTATGTTACATGGATATATCATCAATACAGCAATAAAGTGTTCCTGTCCATATACTATGTCACTGGTAAAGTAAAAAATATATTGGAAATAGTTTTCCTAAATTGAATTTTTATTAACTTATATGCAAAACTTTAGCTGCACAAGAGGATTATTTTTTTATTGCAAATCACTACACTGTTGCAAAATAAGACAAAACTTATATGAAACTTCTTAGTTTTGACTATACTTCATTCTAGACATATTTTCTTCAATTTAGTGCCATATTGAATATGGTGTTTTTCTATAAAATCCAAATAGGCTAATTGAAATTCATTTAATATTTGTTGTAAGTGAATTAGGGAAAGAATCAATTTACTGGAGTTTTCTCCCAACACCAAGATGATCACTTGGTGATCGAAACACGTGTCGAGGTGTTAAAAATAACGATTTGGTGTTGGGAAAAAACTCCAGTAATTTTCATTACTACACTAAAGGTTCCAAACAGTGCATCATAATGTAATATTTGTCTATTATATTGTGTATTTTCATATTTCATTATAGTTTACAATCCGAATTAAAGACGACCTTCTCCCATATATTTAATCTGATAAAAAGTATTTTATATGAAATGTATTAGCATGTTAAAAAATAAATTGCGAGTAGGTTGACTGAAAAAATCTCGGCCAGACTATGATCAATTAAAAGGTCAAAAATAAATTTTTCAATGATTACACTTATCTGTTTAATGAACAAATTTTATACTAACAGATGCCCATAGAATTTTCAAAAGTTGGTTGGCTATTTTTTTCTGCCATAACTATTGGGATGGCAGGAATAAACAGATTAGTCGAAACTAGTAATCTACAATCATCTATTAAATAAATAAATCTTTTATCAAAATAAGTGCTTTTTTGGAAAAGAAAGTTTTTGGCTTTCTACTACTCCATCTTGATACAAAAAACAAGGATGAGGGAATCTTCCAAGGCGAAACATCGGTGTATACCAGTGGGGGTGACAGTGTTCCATGTGAGTGCAATTTATTACCATTCATTTAAAGTAGAACTCATGTGAATGATATCTGATTTTTATTCCACAACGAATGTTTGAAATACAAACTGAGTAGAGAAAAGTATCTTCTGTATAATTCAGTGTTCATATAGAAGTATTTGTTTCGAAAGAACTTTTTTTCTTTCGTGTAATTCAATGTTTATATGAAAGTAGCTGTTTCAGGAGGACTTTGTTTCAGCTTGTGTCTGAAAGTTACTTCTTTGCATGATCTACACATCCATGTATAGAGTTACTTATTTTAAAATTAACTACTTCCTTCCTTTCCTTGGAAGATTCCCTCATCCTTGTTTTTTGTATCAAGATGGAGTAGTAGAAAGCCAAAAATTTTGTTTCCCAAAAATTAATCACTCCTAAAAATATAACCCCTTCAATTTAGGTGCTTTTTATTGCAACACAATGATAAAGTTGTGTTTGCGAAAAATTTTGTCTGAATGACGGTTGGCCAGCTTTGAAAAAAGCTCCGAGCGAACCGTCACGTAGAACAGAAGAGTTCGTAACATTGCGGCTAGACGCGGTGTGTCCCTCGGGTGATAGAATGTGCATGCTATTTGTCCGTGTAATTGAGAAAGATAACGATAGACTAGATTATTTTGGAGTAACTAAACACAAGGACGCAACTCGTGCAGCTGCGTCCTCTTCTATCATACAGGACAGTTCGTTTGGAACTCTTTGTCATACATCTTCACTCGCATCAAAATTTCGCTTTTCAAAGGTAGCCAACCGTCATTTGAACCAAATTTTTTGCAACACCCTATATCATCCTGTTAGCGCTTATGTTGCTATATGATTTATTTATGTATTTTTGCTTTTATCAAAATATATTTCCTTTCTGATATTTTTTATTCAAAGTAAAAGAAAAACAAATACTACTGACCCAAAAATATACAGCCAACATAAAATTGTTTATCTCAGTTACTCTACCTTAATTGTGGAATACAAAATTTTCAACAGTATTGACAAAAAATTCATTTCAGTTAATATAATAAATCACTAACAATAATGAATGAGTTCATATCAATCTGTTCTACAGACAACAATTAGGAGAAAATCAGTTTCAATATCATTACAATAAACTAATTTCTGTATAGAATAGCTGTTCTTCATTATGAAATCCTCTAGATCCCCTTATTTACGAAATTGTGATCTACTAATCATTAACTGAGTTAATGACTTGACTTTTGATTAATATTCAAAGATTTTCACAAAGTTTTTCAAAAGACGTGTATTTGAATTTCTATTTATCTAATTGTATCAAGACAGCCACATGTTGAATGTTTTTTGACAAAATTGTAAACAAATCGAGGTGCACAAGAAACTACAGGTGTACAGCATTTATGCATGTTGACAAAATTCAAGTCGATATTACCTGATTTCTACACTCAGCCTCGACATGTGCAAGTTTAGTTTGAGCCAACTCAAGTTCCAACTCTCTTATTCGTTCAGTCTCATTCATTTGATCTTCTGTTGCTAATGTCAATTCCGGGTTGTACTTTGTGAAAGCGGCAGAACACCTCTCACATCTTGATACTAGTGACTAAAAAAGATGGGAAGGTAATTTGGTAAAAATAAAAATATAATCTAAAAGCAGAATCAAAGAAAGGGGCAATAAATAACAAATTTTCACTTTTTTCAGGGTATCCAGTTGTGTGAAAAAATAATGAACAATAGATTCAATGAATGTAAACTTTCACGACCAGAGATAACTGTGTAACAGCTATTTTCCGGCTGACAATGTGTTGTAGATGGTGTGAGATGAGTAGGCAATACTATCTATCTCTCTACTAAACTCTTAAACTGTTGAAAAGAACAATAATATTGCATATTGATTACTGAATGTAAAAATAATGAACAAAAATGAGAATAATGAGCCTAAGGACACCATGATTATTCTATATTATCGTACACATAGAAATCTTTCGAAAATCATCTTTGTTCCTTTTCTGAAGTCCCAAAATAAATCGTAGATTGCACTTAAAAATTGTTCAAAAATATTAGTTCAATTTCTTTTGAATGACAGATTTGAATACACAATATACTGAATATTAAGGATTCTAGTTGGTATGAAAATTCCCCAGTTCAATTTCTGTTTACCTTGGCATATTCCCGGTTGCTTTCAACATTTTGCAAGCAACTCCTATCAATTTTCTGTCGGTTGTGGTCAATCAAATTTTACAAATATACATCGATTTGAAACAAGTTATGGGGATGTGATTCAATTATGACATCAAGTTTTATTGCTTTTGTCAAAATAAAGGATTCTACTTGGTATGAAAATTCCCCATTTCAATTTTTGTTTACCTTGGCATATTCTCAGTTGCTTTCAACATTATGCAAGCAACTCATACCAATTTTCTGTCGGTTTTGGTCAATCAGATTTTACAAATATGCTTCGATTTGAAAAAAGTTATGGAGATGTGATTCAATTGTTACATCAAGTTTTATTGCTTTTGTCAAAACAAAGGTATTGGATTCTAAAACGAATATGAAATTTTCTGTTCTATCCTATGTTATTTGACTAAAAACTCTTTGAAGTGCATCTAATATGGTTAATGAAAATGCACTAACTTTTGACAGTATTCAAATTAAGATTGTCCAAGGACTAAAAAACGTATGTTCAACCACCTACATGTAAATATATTTCAAATGCTTTTGTTTTTTGCTCACCAGTTTCGTTAGAACCAGATAATATATAGGATTTTTTTCAGATTTGAACTGATTCATCTTATCTTTTCAAAAAGACCAGCTCTGTTCGGAAATCAAATGAATGCAACAAGTTTGGGATCTGATATCATCTAGTTGACTGTTTGCTGTGAAATCTGCAGAAACCCACCACTTCTTTTTTATTGCTTGGGAGCCATATGACAATTGTTATTTGTAATAATTTATACATAATTTGGAATGTACACGTTCTAGGAATAGGAAAAGGTAAAACCTCATTCATTTTTGGTTAAGAAACTGGTTAAGAAAAAAACACATTTAAACACACACAAAATGGTTGTCTCGAGTGATCCAGTGACTCATATTTTCACAAAACATGACGAACTAGCTCTACCCCTTTGTTGCATTGCCTGCATCTTTATACAGGGAATTGTTCTCATCGATGACAGTCGATTTAAAACTTTGCATCCATGACCCAGCCGAGTATTATTGATTAGTTCTATGTCACATTACAAGAATACTGCCTGGTATTGGATCATGAATGTAGCACTTTTGAGCTCAGGTATCGTTGACCACAAAGAATTCTTAATAAGTTCGATTTTATTGGATAAATCATTCTGCCACAGCAAGATTTTACTTACTTTCTGCTTTTGACATATTTTAAGTCAAGTGGAAGAACACCACTCTTTACTGAAAAAAATCTTACCTTCAAGTTATCCAATTCGGTTTTCCTAACTTGCAACTGTGACTCCAGCCGTTGCCTGATCATCTGATAATCAGTAATAATTGTCATATTATTTCTTTTGTCAACTTCTGCCTGATTAACTTCTCTTTTCAGCATATCCTTCAACTGTGTTATTTCGTCCATCATCAATTTGCGTTCTTCCTCATACCTTGCAATGTCTGCTCTAAGTTGCTCTACCTCATTGGCCTCTTTTTCAGCGTTGAAGGCCGCCTCTGAATCCAAATTGATAATTTCTTAGTTATCTAGAGGAGCACATACAGTTCAGCATTTACAATAGCTTCAAACTATGTGATAACTCCTCAATAAAGAACGATAAGTAAAACGTGAATGAGTGTATGAGTTCTAGCACTTGGATCTAAACAATATCAATCAATCAATCAAGATATGCTTTATTATCAGAAGAACAATGTTCTCCTTGATAAAGCTAGTACAATGTAAATTACTCTTGAGATTAGTTAAGATCTAGGCCTAGAATACAAATAACTTACAAACATAAAAGTTTAAAATATTATTTCAATTTGTATCCAAATTTACATGTCTCAATAAATTGCAGAAGTGCATGATTCACTGTAGTGAACGAAGTTAGTGTCTGAAATCTTCAAAAACTGAAATTTTTTTTATTAGGGAGATGATAAATATGTTATTTATTCAAATGTGTTACTGAGTAATAATTTTTTTAACCTTTTTTGCCATAATATTCTAAACACTTCCCTTAAGTGAAACCATACAAAAACATTTCAAATTGTTGTCAGTTTTCATCGTGGAAAATTTCAAACAAAAACAACACTTACAAATTAGTACTTATGAATATTGTTTGCCACTTTGCCAGTTCTATAATAAATCATACACTTAACAACTTTCATCAGCATAAAGAAACTCGCAACGATTTCATTAGAGCTCTTGAAAACCAATATTTTCACTATGCTTCTACTAATTTTCAAAAGTTGACAGTTTATCGAAATAGGAAACCTACAAACATATAGTCTGTAAAATATATTTTTTTACATTCAAAGGTATAGTACTTCAGATGTCTCAACTGGACGAAAAGAAATTAGAGAAAGAGTAAAATGGAAGTAGCTATCAAAAACTTGAAAAAGCAAGTAGAGAAAAGAGATACTAGAATTGAGATAATGGAAACAGAATCGGAGAAAAGTACTGACCATTTATTTAAAGTGTTCATGAAAATAAAAAATCCAACTCGAAAAATTCAAAAACGATGACTTCTCTTGAATGCCTTTCAAAAGAAAAAGAAGCCAAAGAAAATTACATCTTGCATGCTGAAAGAAAAATATAAACTTCTAAAGTTGTTTCTGTTTGGGTTGATTTTCTTTACCCGGGTAACTTCGGTTGGAGAAGATATGTTGAAAGCAGTTTTTTGTTGAAAAAATTCTCGACAAATATAGCAAAACTCTGTTGTAAAATGGGGTTATTGCGATCATAGAAACATGTTACGTTTTATTATGATTCAAATTATTTACTAAACCACTTCCTTGTGGTTGGGTGATTTATCATAGTTGACGTTTTCAAAAAATCACTAAGGTTCATGTTATAACTTCTAGTGAAATACAACACTCATTACGATTACTTAATATGCCAACTTAGTTGATGAATATTATTGCAGTTATGGTGTTTGGGAAAAGTATTTGTTTTTAGTATTGTATTAATAAGATAAAGTCAGATCGGTCAAATCAATTCCATCGAGTTTTTACCATGCACACCCTTGATCTAAGTATGAAGCCTCTTTTATCTTTGATATTCGTGAATCGAGTCTCATGTCGGTCCTATTGTTGGCGTTTTTGTAAGGGGCGCCTTAAGTTCGTCCTTTACGGACAGTTGAGTCCAAAAATCCATTTGTGGTTCAGCTTAGCACCACTGATAAGACCTATCACGGATTGAAACAGATGAATACTTGGTTTTTGGGTTCTGGTTTCGACCATTTTTTATTTACTTTCCATTTCAAATTAAAATAATTCATTTTATTTTGTGATGGAATTGTCCGATACTTGATGAAAATCCATATCCTATCCATGTTACACCTTACTGTGAGATTTGCACTCAACAGTTCATACTCATAAATAGTAACTGATGAAGGTATTGTATAGCGAAACATGTGTTGTGGTTAGTCTTATTCTATTATTCTTTTTTTCTAGATTTGCCAAGAATATTTCAACCAAGTCGAGTATCACAGTTTACAACTCAATTGTTCAGCCACACTTTGACTACTGTTCCTCTATCCTATATCTATTCAATCAGAATAAATTGTCTCAACTCCAAAAACTTCAGAATCCTGGTGAAAGGATCATTTTGAAGTGCCGTCGAGATACTCCTATTACTATTATTATGTTTGTAGAAATGTTTTTAGAAATATTTCATTGAACTTGTGTTTGTTATATATTTCAAGCCATTTCTCTATGTATCACATACCATTTTTACTTTATACTTTCTAGCTTATTTGTATATTAGGCTATCCTATTTTATTAAAGATCTATCTATCTATTTGTGAAATGTTCAGTGAAAATCACACAATAACGTGTTACTTCAATAACGTTATTATATTTGTGGATATCATACTCATTGTTTTTTTTTCATTTTCTTTTATAACTAATTCATACGAACATTTTTTACTGACCATTTCTAGTATATTCAATATTTTTAATATTTCATTTTATCTTATCATAGATTTAAAATCTGCCAACAACTTTAAATAATGGAAATCTGAGCCTTTAACATTCTCTATTAATCTTCCTGTTTTTTTGCTCTTCCTTCCATAATATTTCATGAAATCAATTAATGAATACTATCGTTGCCATTTTTTCCAAATTACTTGTTCATGTAATCTACTGAATCTGTTTCTTTTTCAATCACTCTTTTGTCTTTGGTGTTACGAACTATAGCTGTTTGCAATATTATGCCCTGGCATTTTTGTAAACCATTATATTTTTTTTTATTGAATTTATTTATTATAAATATGCAGGTAAGGGTCATTATTCTATGTGATTTGAATAGTGGACGACATGAATCTCTAAAGCCAGCCCTACAAACATACCGGACAGCTCTTTTTTGTAGCTTAAATATCATATTGAAAGATGCTTTGTCGGAATTGCCCCAGTAGCAGATCCCATATCTCAGGTGTGACTCTATAAATGCAAAATATGTTGATCTTGCCATGGTTGGGTCGAGTTCCTTGGATATGACTCTAAGTGCATAATAGCCTTTGGCAAGTTTGGTACATAAACTTGCGACATGTTCCTTGAACGTCAACCTACTATCAATAAATACCCCAATATATTTTAACAGTTCGCTCTTGAAAATCTTTAATGATAGGGTAGATTTAATTTTAACAGGTAAATCATTGAATTGAACAAAACCTTTAAAAAATATCTCAAATTGATCTCCAAACTATTCTATTTCAATCTACTTCTGCAGCTGCACTTTCGAATTCCTCATTGAATTTTAATAATTTTCACAAACAAATTAACAAAATTTTTAGTCTCTGATAAGTAATAAATTGAAATGTATAAGAATGAGTTATACCAATTAATTACCAATTTTATTATTGAAAAACAAAATTAATGGAAGTGAATTATTCAGTTATAACTAGTTAAGGAGCATTTGTTCAATTAACCTATTAGAATTCTGGGCATTCCAAAAGATTAACGTTCATATCTTTCTCTCCTATACCCAAAACTTCAAACTCATGACTGAATTCGATCTTGTAATTGATTCATTCAAAAAAGTTCACAATAGATTTTCATCAAGTATTAGCAACGTCCGTCAAATATTGAATATCTATTTAATTATTGCGCACATTAACAACTTCATATCCAGTAGGAAGTATAGTTCTCTCAACAGCTTTGAGACGTTTTTTCTATAGTCAATAATTTGCTTAGCAATTGTTCTCACCTTTCAATGCTATGAAATCAGCTTCATATTTTTTCAATTTCTTGACTTTCAGACTACAGGCTGATTTGATAAGTTGTTTAGCAGATTCTTCAGTGCGACATTTTTTAGGTAAAGACACCCTGAAGTATTTTAATATACCTTCAAAATCCAATTGCATAAGATCTTTCTTGCACAACTACAATAAAGTAATCATCAAATGAATGTACACCCGTATCTTGGAATATAATTACCATTAACAAAGCAAGAGCAATTTGAAAGAGTGTATCAATTCCTTGAAGAAGAAAAACATCGATGATGTGAAAAACGAAGTACAAAGGAAATCTGGCAGTAAATAACGTTAAAAACCATTGGGATGCAAACATATGAGTTTCTATGTGATGCTCTGCAAAATGAAGCCATAGTGGGGTAAGTTGTTCCTCCATAAGTTTATTAAGTTGGTACAGCCTCAGATATAAATTATCAAATCCATCCTTGTACAAATCTCTGAGTCGATAATCATACATTAATTTCACTAAAACACAAAAAGCTTGTTCTTCAGGCATCTGAAAACCAATCAAATTAATCAAAAGGAAAGGTTGCTACAAAAAAATGAACTTACATGCAACAAAAGGGTTGCTGCTAGAAAGCTCAAACCCTGACAATATCCAACTTCTGAATCAAAGGCGGCGTATGCCTTGCTAACCCTGTAGAGAGAATCCTGACCTAAGCCTCCGGCCTCTTTGAAAAAATCGTGGGCCGGAAAAGTTCGTGCGATATCTCGTTGAATAACATTTTCACAGCTGGATTCCTAGACGATTCCTTTCATTACAAATAAATTATTGAAGTGCTAAACATACCTTTGTTATGAGCAATCGATAATTCTCCATCATATCTGTATTTTCTTCAACTCCTGCTAGTCTTTGCCAAACTTCTCCCCTTAGGGCTTCTGGGATACCCAATCTCACTAAACCGGCTAGTTGTTTTGGCTTTTGTTGGGTCGTTTTCCATCTACAAAGAACTTCTGCCCAATTTTCAAGAACAATTTCAGAGCAGTCTTTGGATACTAGACCTGTACCACTTAGCAAGGGTTCGTCACCGTCTTGAAAAATATATTCAATGAAAGAGGTATCTAGTCAGAAAGCGATGCCTTACCGGAACTACATTCCTCTTTAGGTGTTAAAGTATCAATGGACGTTATACTTGGAGATTGTATTAAACTGGATAGATTCAAATTAAGGTTCAATAGATTTCTGTCTAATTCTCCAGAAGTTTCCATATTTAAAACTTCATAGTGTATATCATTTAGATCAGACACCACCTAAATAAAGACTTGAATACAGTAGTGAATGAACCACATCAACAACTAATCTTTATTATGCAAAATGAATACTGTAATTATACATCTGAAAATTTATAGATAATTTCTTTGGAATAACCAGATGGACAAAGTTTTCAGATAAACATGTTTATATGAAATGAATATGATATGGACTGACATTGAAAAGTTGACACACATTCAATAAAACAATAATGGAATGTATCATTAATTAGTATAGCAGCTATAAATAAAATATTATGAATCTGATATACAGGGTCCCAAAAATAAAACGGAGTGATCCATAACATTCGAATCCTAATTCCAGTTATAGCCATGTTATTAGTGTCTATCACTATCATTGATATTGTTATCGTTATTGTTACCAGTTTCTTGATTAAAAATTAATAACACTAACGGAAACTATACTAAATAGATGAGGAAAAATGGTGATAAAATATATAGAATCATAACCTTGACAACAATGTTTTCGTTTTAATGCAATATTTCTGAGAATTTAGTGCCTACTATAATGGAATTGTACTATAGTCATCATAATAATTGAACAACTTTCACAAAATGAACCTTACTCAAATTATTCAGTGAAAGGCCTTTTGAGTAAAGGTCATAGCGTGAAAATTGTTTAATTATCATCATAAACATGCACTTGATTAAAATGATCTTTGGATACAATTTTGAACAAGAACAGGACCGAGTACAGGGTCTAACCATAGATACCTCTTTGGTTTAGTTTTCAACCCAGAACGAGGTGATTACAAATCTGTCACTAAGTTGGAACCCGTTCAGAAAGAGGTCCACAACAAAACTGCAGAGACCACTTTACTTCTGCAGTACACAAGGATAAGCCGATGCATTGGGTTTCCTTCTACTACATTAAAGACCTTGTCTTATCAAAGTATCAGAAATTGCTTTTTCTAGGTTGCCAGGGACGATGTCGAAAAATGAGAAGTTCATCATGGTATGCCAAAATGGTGTATTCATTACTTTATTCTACGATAGTCGCCTGATACGTAAAGAGGTTACCTCCGGCACTTCTATTGTATTGACAAGACAACCGTGTTACAGACTCCGGGAGATATTCAATCCATTGTGGTGAATGAGAAATGCCGAATTTATTGAAAGTATTCATCATCCATTCTCAGGCTAATACAAGCTCCCAATGTAGTCTACATCGATTATCAAAGTAAGACGATATTGGATGTCGTGTTTTCAACTCCAGGTGAGATGAATATTGTCCAAAAAAATTACTAAAAGTGGAAAACCAAAATTTCCTCTTCGAACTACATGAGCTCTACCTGTCTTGAACTAAGGCAGAAATCTTGGTCGGACAAATGCAGAGTGCGTCTTTTCAAGGCATATTATTTTTGGACCTATTGAAGACTTGCATGACACTGTGGAGAGTAGTAACTGGTTATTGATGCAGGAGAACCATCCGCACTATCGGAATTTCGGGGAAGGGTCCTTCCGAAACCGTCTGACAAAGTTACAACGCCGTCCAATGGCTTTTAGAATCGAAAGGACATAATCCCTGCCTTACACAAGATATAAAGCTAATATCATGTCGGCGAGACAATATGTGTCTCATATCCATTGTGTTATAGACTACTGGTCTTTTACTCCTACTATCTGTCTAATTGCTGCTGAACTAGGGTGTGTCCAAAACACTTCAAGTTATTGTGTGCTGTTAATTACCAAACAGCATAGGATACGAATGCAAGAGGTTGCTAAAAAGTCACTAGTGAGGCGAGCAAGAAGTATCGCGGACTGAGAAATCTCGCCTAATCCAAAAAGTCTTTGTGTGTTGCAGACAATTCGCCGACCTCTGGTAGACTGAAAATCTGAAAGGGCATTTATGAACCCCCACACTCCCCCATGCATATTGATGCCGTGAATTATGAAACCAAGACATGAATACGTGATGGAACAAGATGGTCTATTCAGGACAAGTGGGGAAGCGTATCTTTTGAAAAAAAAAATGTAAAATTGTGACAACATTCTCTGATGAAGAAACAAACAACATGATATTTGGTTCAATTTTCAGTTTGACTCATATAAAGATGAAACTTTGATGAATAACGCCTAAAAAAGCTCAAACTAAACTGCCATAAAATTCATGTTTTTCTGAAAAAAAGTTATATGAAGTACTGGTAATATTTTGACCCCATCTATACATTCCCGAGAGGAAAAGAGGAAGTCCAGGGACACCCTGTATAAATATGAAAATTATTGCTGAAGGGATTGAAATTAATCCACAAATTGAAAATTTTCAACTATTAAACATTCGTCATTGTTCATACTATTTGATCAATAAAAGAGCATGCCCTCTTTCCCTAAGAAGACGGCATCTATGCAATCGACAGAAAACTCAAATTCTGTACATTCAAGATAAATGAGGGTTCCTCAGTTATCATTAGAATGTTCCGTATATTACATAGAATGGGCCTTCTTATGGGGGAGTTGGTATGTTCACTGCATACTCAGGATTCGGTATACTCTTGGGGTACTTAACGGATCCTTAAGGTCTTTAGCTGACCTGAGACTATACAACATTCTCTGATGAAGAAAGATGAAAATTTGATGAATAACGCCTAAAAAAGCTCAAACTAAACTGCCATAAAATTCATGTTTTTCCTCCAGAAGCAACTAAATAATCGGGCAGCTGTCCAGTACTCTTATGAATAACTTTCAAACACACATACATGAGTAATGGCAGAATATGATATACTGATTAGAGAGTGATATCTGTCTTAGTCTATGCATAGAGTATACTTGAAAAGATGAAAAAATATATATCTTGAATTCTTGTCTATATTGCTTCATGAAGAGCTTCCTTTGAGGCAGTCAAGAGTATCGGTCAGTATGGGCTGGTTTCCTTTATACTTCATGCCCCAGTCTAAACCTATCCCGTCTTTTCACTAATATATCCAGAAAAGCGATTTCCTTGTCTTTCCCCATTGTGAACTGAATTTTCGGGATTCTGGAACTCAAATATCTCAGAAATTCCTCTTTCCTGTGATCCCAAACCACGGAGGTATCATGTTAAGCCATGTTCAAATAAGGAGGTGATGGAGCTTCAGTTGTGAAATTGGCCGCGGTGATAGTGCGTCCGACTCACGATCGGAAGGTCGTGTGTTCGACTCCCGCCTCGACCAGATATTTTTCTCGAGAGAATTCATCTGGTTGAAGCTGGAATGATTCTGCAACCGTGTTAGGAATCACACGTTAAAAGGTAAGACCTCGTTAGTCCTTAGTTCGCACAAGTTTCTCAACTTCTGAGAGTTGTCGTTCGTATGGGGACGGCAGCTGATTAACGGAAAAACAGATTTTAAACAGATGTATGTAGGAAAGAATCCGCATATGAGTTGCAATGTTTTACTAACTGGAACCATTGTGACTAGAGATACACATCAAAACTCACAATTCAGTTTCAAATCGCGAAAGTTCTCAATAAAATGAGCTGAGTCTCAGACGAATGAGTTTGATTTCCCCACTAGTGCCTGTAGCAGATCCAATAAGTACGTGGTGATCTCATACATCGGGGATCCTATAGTACTAACGATCAGCCTTAGTGGGACATCCGACATGTAAATTTCTGGTAGCCCTTATAAACGAGGTGGTAATGCCTCGGTTCTCTGTAACCCTCTCTATCAACCAGGATGTGAAGAGAGACCACGGCTAATACACCAGGAAACATCCGACAATTTGTTAGATACCAGCCATGAAAGCCTAGACACCATGATCAATTGAAAGTATTATTTCCTTTAATGGTGGAATATTGTGTAATGATTTATATTAAAATGGTGCGGCAATGTATAATAAGTTTATTCATAATAAAAATATAGAATATTAAATTTACATAAATATGTTTCAATTCGTATCAACAAATTTTTTGAAAGTGTCTTTTGACATTTCTTATCTATTTTTTTTATTTTTTTTTTTGCGTGTGGAGAAAACAACAGAGTTCTTCCAACTTCTTTTGGCAACAAATCATATAATGAAGCATCGCACTGTCTAATCCTCAAAACAACATATTTTTATTCGAATGTGAATGTTGTTTATGATACCACAATAGAAGCATAATTTTCAATATCTGAATCATTTTTCAAAAAATTAGACATTATTTTGAGTGCAACTAGAAGTGCAACATATCGCTGGTTCAATTTTCATAGAATAGGTGACGATTTATGATTGGTTTCCATGTCATAATCAATCTTTATATATGTAAATCTTACTTACTCTCTCTGTGAAAAACAATCTTTATACCTGAATGTTTCAAAACTCTTGCACAAAAGGTATTTTGTGCAATGACCAATTTTTTGTCAACACTGTTTTTTTTCAAATGTGAATGTTCAAATATTCAATATTTTGCCATTTTTTTATTTCCATGCAATTTGTTTCAATTATTTGATCAATCACTAAAATCTAACGTTTGCTTTCTAGCTCATATTTTCTCTGTATATTGTCCCTATAAAAACTTACCTCTTTTAAATTCAAGAAAAACTGCTGAACCAAACTCTTTCTCTGGAAATACCAGAAATTTCTTTCATTTAGTGAATATATCTTTACTGGAGTCTCAATCAAAAATCGCACAGGTTCCTGTATTCCTCTTATTACTAAATCCACAGCTACTGTCATATACTGTTTCATATCTTTAGGCGTCTCTACGTTCAGCGGTTCGAATGTTGCCTCTGTTGGATCCCAATTAGCCAAAATTGTTGTACAGTTTTTTTCAAGGGATGAACCAACCTGTTCTTTCTAGAAAATATGTTCCAAATAAGGTTCCACTTAGTGGTTAATGTATCCAGATTTAACTTTACAAGAAACACCTAGAATACAATTGTAATTTTCCTAACCCGTCCTAATAGAACAATTATATTTTGAACTTCATCTGAATTGCAAGAAAGATTTGTGGAGGTTCATTTAAAAAAAGTAATAGTCAATACTTTGAACAAGATAGTTACCATTTCTAAGAGCTGCATATCGGAGTGGCGAACATGTCGCCCCGCAGCAACAAGAACACCAAAGCACCTTTCAATGAAGAGTTGTGGCCCATTATCCGATACTTGTCTTATACCCAGGCAAAATTGTTTTTCCAAATTCATCTTCAATCTGAAACCATTTTTATCCTTTCCAACAGTTGCAAAAGAACCCTACAAAAAATCATACTGTGTACTGCTTAAAACCAATTTCAATCATAAAATCTAACCTTCCCGTCATCTTCTTTGATTTCCAGATTGACTTCAAAAACATATAGTAATGTACGAGCTTCAGATATAGTAGTTACTGACCCTGTCATGTCAACAGCAGATGCTACTGAGCTACTCATTGATCTGGGAACTCTCTGAAAGGCTTTGGCAAAACAAGTTGAAACTCGTGATACTGCTTCGGATATTTCACATCGAAAAACATGGCACTGAAATATGGCTGACTCCTGAGTATCACCGTGAGACCAAGTGAAAGCAAAGCAACCAGCTTCTGAGGTATCAATCGAACCACGAGCATAAAATAAGATTCGATGTATTTCATAACGAGATATGACAGAATGAGAATTTGCATCATATAATCTGAAATAAAATATCGGGATTTATTATACAACGTTGTTTTTGATTAATAATGATATACTGTAAGTAACTTTTATAGTGCTCCAATTCTCATTTTTTTGTTTATATTTATTCAAATATTTCATATATCATATATGTCACTGCAAGGTTGTGTATATTTTGTTTTAACATGTTCTACACCTAAAACATGTTTTTAATATGAAGGAACAAATAAACATCATTCTATTCTATCCTTCACATATTCTAGTCTTTAACAGTCTTTTTATTATGTATTTCATAACCATCCAAAATAAATACCTGCATTCAGTGAATATATTCATTACTAACACAGATATATTGGATGTTATAGCTGGATATATACAACCCCTTCAATAGGTTCATTTGAATTCAGTTGTCTTCTGAGACACTATCTTAAAGAAAATAAAAATAATCAAAACCAATATTTACACTCAGCAGAATTCAAACATCTTGAGTGAATTTGGATTCCAATCGCTCATCAATGAATATATTTAGACCATTTATCTATTAATATTATACTACAGATCTTATCCCATTATAATTTCAAATTACCTGCAACTTACAAATGTAACTCTACGAATACTATTTGTAAAACCAAATATAAAAATTATATCTTTTATAAAAATTTACATGACAAAGAAAAAGTAAAAGATAATATTGACAAAAGCAAATGAAATATGCACAACGAATAAGAAAAGAATGGATGACAAATTCCAGTTTTCCTCCAATAAGAAATCGATCAAATACATTTTTGTCAACCCTTCAATCGAACTGCCCAAATCTGACACTAAATAACTGCACGAGTATTTAACAAATAATATTTATGATCGATAAATAATAAAATACCTAGTATCAGTATTTTTCTTGATCTAGCAAAAGCATTTGAGACAGTCAGTCATGAGTTAATTTTAAGAAAAACTGGTTATCGATAATAATCCAAAAGTTATTAAGAGTTAATTCAAGACTTTTTCAATGAACGAAAATTGTTTTAATACGGTATTTCCCAAGGAATTGTTTTAGGGCCATTAATATTTAATATATTCATAAATGACCTGCTTTCACTAAAATCTAAAGAAAAAAAACATACTTTTGCTGATGATACCCTAATGTTGAATATCATTATTTTAGGTGACTTCAAAAATATTACACAATCAATAAATTTTGATAAAACCAAATATCTTCCATTCACTTCTTACCAAAATGCCTTACCTAACTTGGACATCTCAACATTATTAACAATATACAAATTCTTGAAGGTGATTGTATCAAATATCGAGGAATAATGATCGATCTGCATCAAAAACAGGATAATCAAATAAATCTTATTGTTCAAAAAATTAATTAACTTTTTTCCCAAATTCAAAATTGTAAAAAAAAAATTCAAACATATATTTAACTTGAGTTTCTTCATTTTTCTTTAATGAGTTATGGAATTTTAGGCTGGACTAGTGTAAAAAAGGTATATTTGAAAAATTAGAAATTATACAAAATAAAGTTTAAAAAACATAATGAAGATTGAAAATATTGAACTAAATTATTGTGTGAAGTAAAACACATACATAAATCAATTATACAGTGCATTTCTTTAATGTCCCCCTCCCGTTTTACTTTTTGAACAAATCAACTCAAAAAATTGAAATTTGGGATAATGAAATTAATGCATGAATACATTATTTCGAAGTGAAATTGACAGATGAAACTTTCAAGATGGTGACAGGGCGCCATCTGGGAAAAAAATATTAAATGGAAAGGGGGGTCTTGTGACACATCATTTTAAAGCTCCTGACGAATACTTCACAACCCTAGAATATGAAGTCAATATCTTCACCTACTATAAAATGGCGGAACATTTAATAATTTCCTGAAGACAAACACATTATCATCGATATTTCTAGAAATATTCCTTTTTATCTGCCATATGGCAATTTCAACAACCCGACAAGGTTTGTTAAGTTATAATGTAAGTACGACAATGAACATCGTTGTTCAGTTAGTGGTTCAAATCACTTGATAAAGCTAGTGTGTTAGCGAAACATGTTGTGATATATATTTTTGAAATTAAGTTTGTGGAGATCAAATCGTGAGGTGTAGTTTTTGAAATCTCTAAAATGGTCAATTCTCGTTGATTGAAAGAAAAAATTGAAGCGATTTTTATTTACGGTGCGACGCCTAACTTTCACGAGACCAAAAGGATTTTCAATGAACGTTTTCCGAATCGTCCTATGTGTAGAAAATATTTGAGGGAATTGGTAATCCAAATTCACAACTACCGGTAGTGTACAAAACAAAAAGCCCCCAGGTCATCCGTCCATTCCGGAAAAACAGTAAGTGCAAATAATTGATGAGATGGTAGTAAATCCTGAACAGTGTACTTATTCCGTCGCGAATGTTTGTGAGGTGTACCCTTCTACTGTGTGGAGACTTTTGAAGAGGAATAGGTATCATTCATATAAAACCCTGATCCAAGAACAGAATTCGCAAAATCATGACGGAAACCACTGCAAGCCATCCTACCTATCTCCACAATATTTATTTTAGTGACGAATGTACATTTGTTTTAAACGGCAATGTTCACAGACAAAATTACCGTTTTCCGGGAAACACATACCCAATATCCAGAAAAAGTTAACGTTTGGGCAGGAGTATTGGGAAACCATATTGTAGGACCTCTATTTATTGATCAAAATTTAACAGGGGAACTGTATTTGAATATGCTGGAAACTACTGTTGACTCTCTCATTACTGAAATCGTCGAAGCGAATCCTAATGAATTCGGCATAGATATTGTATTCTATTGCAAACTTTCACGGCCCAGGAACAGGAAGACTATGATCAACTTGCTGCGGTATGAACAGGCCCACCTAGAGCACGTTTACCATTCACAGCTGAAGAACTGCTGCCAGAAATCAGGAGAATCCCTACAGGAATTTGAAGACGACATTGCTCGATTGATTCGTCTGGCATATCCTGCTACACTGGAAAATGTAATGGAGCGGTTAGCAGTTCAGGCATTCTTGGACGGACTTTGCTACCAAGAAACGACGCAGGCCTTGACACTAGCTCATCCCAAACATCTCGTGGACGCACTGGCAAGCGCTCTGGAGTTTGAGGCTGCAAAACAATTCTGCAAGAGCCAGAGCAAAGTTCGAGCTATCGAGGAAGATGGACAGGTGCCTGCTGATATAGAGGCCACCAGGAGAAAGGTAATAAAAGAAGTGTTGTCTGAGAGAAAACAAATAAGATGCTGGAACTGTGGGAAAATTGGGCATGTACGTAGCAAGTGTCCAGCATTCAAAGAACCAACAACAAATCAGGAAAACTAGAGGGGATCGATGAGAAGGGGCAATCGTCGGCCTGTACCCAGCAAGCCCCCGTAAAAAACGCATATATTGCCATCCTCCAACGACAAGACAAAGGCGTTTTCGTAGACGGCTTCATCAACAACAAGTCTTGCACCATGCTGCTAGATACAGGCGCGACGAGAACCATTCTTGGGCCAACTTTTGCCAAAACACCGGCAAGAATTGAACCGTCAAGTTGGAAGCTACGCACCTCAATAGGGGAGCCAGCTACTGTACTTGGAGAACTACCAATTGAATTGGTGTTGGGCAGCACTAAATTGAACCATCGTGCATTGGTGGCGGACATCGAGGACGATGCGATTATTGGAATGGACATAATGAATTCCAGAGGGTTCGAGCTGAATTTTCAAGACGGCGTCCTACGTGTCGGCGGAGAAGAGCTGGTGCTTCATGGAAGAAGCGGAAAGATGATCAGGGTCCTCTGGCTGAAGACGTGTGCGTACCTGAGAGGGCTGAAACCATCCTGGAGGCTCGCTTGGGCGCAAGTGCGAGCAGCGGCAAGGTGGTAATGTTCGAGCCCAATATACACGATGAGAAAATGGGACGAGGAATCGCACTGGGGAAGACCCTGTTGCGTGTTAATAAAGTTGTGCCGGTCAGGGTCATGAATGTCAACTGCTTTCCCGTGACCTTGAAGAAAGGAACAATGCTGGGGCGCTGTTCTTCCATTTCCTCTGTGATACGGAGTGAATGCAGTTCGGTTAGCCAAGCCAACCACTTGCCTAAAGAGTTGGAGAAGTTGATTGACATTTCCTGCAAAGATATACCACCAACTCACCGATCAAAATTGAGAGAGTTAGTCAAGGAATACTAGGAAATCTTCGACATTGGAGAAGGAAAAGGCGGCAGAACGAATGAGGTTCAGCATAGAATCGACACTGGGAATGCCGGACCAATACGGCAATCAGCTAGAAGACTCCCTCTTGCCAAGAAAGAAGAGGCAGACAAGATAGTCAGCAATATGGAAAAAGAAGGAGTCATCGAACCTTCTGACAGCCCCTGGTCTTCCCCAGTCGTATTAGTGAAGAAGAAGGACGGCTCGACAAGGTACTGCGTGGACTATCGCCAACTAAATAACGTGACGTTATTTAGTTGACTATCCTCTTCCAAGAATCGACGACACTCTAGACGGCTCCACGATTTTCTCGACTTTCGATTTGAAGAATGGCCCCAGAAGATCGAGAAAAGACAGCTTTCACCGTCGGACGAAGCGACCTTCGAGAGATTGATGGAGACGGTTCTCAAAGGGCTCTCATGGAAGACGTGTCTAGTGTATCTCGACGATATAATCGTAGTCGGAAAATCGTTCGACGATAACTTAAAAAATCTGGAGGAGGTATTCATGCGTCTGCGGAGTTCTGGATTGAAACTTAGTCCTAAGAAATGCCATATGTTCCAGAAAGAAGTCCGTTATTTTGGCCACGTTGTCTCTGGGGAAGGAGTGGCAGTGGACGAACAAAAGATCAAAGCAGTTAAGGATTGGCCCATCCCAAAAGACATACATCAGATTCGGAGCTTCCTTGGTTTGTGCACCTACTACCACAGATATGTGCTGGGGTTTGCCAACATCGCCAAATCATTGACCCGCCTCACAGAAGGACAGATCCAGTTTCAGTGATCTGAGGAATGCCAAGACTCATTCAAGAAGATGAAAAGAGCTTTGATCAAAGCTACTGTTTTGAGCTATCCCCTACCGGACGGAAAGTTCATTTTAGATACGGACGCCAGCAACGTGGGACTTATAGCAGTCCTTTCTCAGATCCAGGATGGACAGGAAAAAGTTATTGGCTACTTCAGCAAAACGCTCAGTAAACCAGAGCGCAATTATTGTGTCACCAGGCGAGAGCTGTTGGCCGTTGTCAAAGGTATAGAGCATTTCTACAAATACGTGTATGGAAGAAGATTTCTGTTGAGAACGGACCATGCAGCTCTCAAATGGCTTCTGCAGTTCAAAAATCCCGAGGGCCAAGTAGCGCGCTGGATTGAGAGATTACAAGAATTTGACTTCGAAATAGAACATCGAGCTGGGACTAGCCATAAAAACGCAGATGCCCTATCACGGAGACCATGCCCCGATGACTGCTCACATTGCCGACGAGCAGAAGAGAAGGAAGCAGCTATTTGTAGAACTACAGCTGTAGACGACAACTGGGAGGATAATAAGATCAAGGAAGACCAAGAGAAAGACCCAGATCTTGGTTTAGTCATCGGATGGAAGAAACATAATCAAATACCATCGTGGCAGGAGGTAGCAGGTTATTCGCCAGCAGTTAAGTCTTACTGGGCCAATGGAACTCCCTTACCATGGAAAACGGGGTTCTGAAGCGAGTGTTGGAGTCTGGAGACGGTAGAGAAGAGAGGCGCCAGACACTGGTACCCAGGAACAGGGGACGGGAGGTACTCAAAGAAATCCATGATGGAGTCACTGGAGGGCATCTGGGAGTAACGAAGACCCTCCAGAAAGTAAGACAACGACTTTACTGAGTTAATTGTCAAGCCAACATCAAGGACTGGTGCAGAAAATGTGCTGTATGTGCTGCCAGTAACGGACCTCGGATACGACCGAAAGCTCCAATGCGCCAGTATAACGTGGGTAGTCCCTTTGAGAGAATCGCCATCGATATCGCCGGCCCATTCCCAGAGATCGACCATGAGAACAAATACATCCTGGTAGCCATGGACTACTTCAGTAAGTGTGCAGAAGCCTATGCCCTGTCCAACCAGGAAGCCTTTACCGTCGCTGACGTCCTGGTAAAGGAATGGATATGTCGATTCGGTGTCCCATTGAAGCTGCATTCGGACCAGGGCAGAAATGTCGAGTCCAACCTGTTCCAAGAAATATGTAAACTGTTGGACATTCAAAAGACCAGAACTACAGCCTTACATCCACAGTCCGATGGAATGAGGGAACGAATGAATAAGATCATGAACCGCCACTTGTCCAAGGTAGTCTCTGACCATCAAAGAGACTGGGACCAGTACCTCCACCTGTTCCTGTTGGCCTATCGTTCGGCAGTGCACGAGTCAACCGGCCAAACCCCTGCCAGTATTACAATGGCACGAGAGCTACGGCTTCCTTGCGACCTGAAATTTGGGACACCGCCAGACCAAGACACTGCGGGGGAAGACTATGTCAGCAAGCTTCGGCAGAGAATGGACGACATCCATGAACGAGTCCGTCTGAACATCCGGAGTGCCAGCGATAGGATGAAGTAGGCCTATGACATCAAAGCGAATGCTGGAGGATTCGAAAACGGTGACCTAGTTTGACTGTACAACCCTAAGCGACGCTGTGGTTTATCACCGAAGTTGTGGAACTCGTGGGAAGGTCCGTACAAAATCATGAAAATGATTAATGACCTCGTCTACCGAATCCATAAGCCACCTCGAGAAAAGCCTAGGGTCGTCCATTTTAATAGATTGGCTACTTATGCTGGAAATCACGACCAAGTTCGCGCCCTCAGACCACCAGAGGATGAAATGATGTTTCAGAAGTTCATGTCATTATATTCGAACGGACAGAAGGTCGTACATGGGGTAACTCAAGAAGAGCCTCTGGACTCGACAGGCTGGATTGGATAATTGTGAGAAGCAAGTTGGAAACGATCTTCAGATCCAGCGGCATCAAAATTTTGGTGTGCGGTAACCATCTTCCACGACCGAGCATGAAGACTGTGGAGTGTTACTTCCATCGAACTTCACAGTGCAGATATGGGGAGTCCTGCAGATATCGACACACGCCAAGGATGACATTTCGGGGCGAAACGTCTTTAAGAAGGGGGAAATGTAACGAATCTGAAGCCGGCCCTGACCGATATCTCAGCCGGCGATAAACACATGACTCACCGCGAACCACCGCGAAAAGTCTAGGCTAATCCCGAAACGACTACAGAATTCTACGATGGACCTTTATCGATATAAAAGGCCGGCTCCTCGTTCACAGAGGGTAGTCTGAATCCAGAAAGCGAATTGAGTGGTTAAACAAGGAATTCGAATAGTATAGATAAATTAAGCGTTAGTTGCTAATTGTTGAATATAAATTAGTTGTGATAGTGAGATATTGTTAGAAATAAATTTGTTTAAGACAGTAAATTCTTTAAATTGTTACAATACATTCATTGGACTTGATGTATATGTATAATATGGTAATATTTCCTAAGGGAACACTGAGCTACTTATACTCGGGTTTATACTCACACTACAAGGCCTTGAGAGGATGAAGGTACTGAAACTGATATCTTTAAGCCTTGATCAATGCTTTGTTCATTCAATATTGCCATATTACGTTGAATTTCAGCCTCTGATTTTGGAGCATTTATTGTAGCAGCTCCAAGATATGTAACTCCTGAGAATATGGTACATTCTTGATCGACATCTGAAACTTAAGTGAAAATATTCTCGAAATTGAATGAAAATGATAGTAATGAATATTAACGGTCATGTAGAATATAGTCTCATGTTGAAACTGCTGAGGAGAAAATAATATTACATCAGAAAATTTCAAGCCTATGATGATGCTTTCTGAGATTTACGAAATTTTAGATCATCACTACTGAGAAATTCAATTTCTATCGCAAATGAAATAAAAAAAATTAATAACTAAAAAAATAAATAAGGTAAATGAGGATATTAAGAAAGAAATGAAAGTATGTAAGTAATCAATTTTCAGAATTAAAAAAAAATATATATAACAGTGAATCAATATAACTCATATTGAACAAAAAACTTATAAACAATATTTTTCGAACCCATCTTAGTCATTTATGAAAATAAAATTAGAAAAATGCTCAATGCTCACACTAATTTATTTACTAAAACTGAGGAAACTGAGCGAAAAGAGTGAAGTGGGCTTCACACTGAGAGAATAAGTAGCAGCTGTAGTTGAGAAGAGTTGCTGGGAGCCTATTTAAAACTCAAATTTGTGTAGTATCAACTACTTTCCCTTCAGTGTCTAATCTTATCGACTCAAAATATTCTATTGGTGTGGAAAACTTAATACCTAAATCTTGTGAATTCAACGTTTAATTTTTTTATAGTTCGAGGGTTCCCTTGATATAATCGTTTATCAAAAAACAGAACATTTATTCGAAATTATGTTGAATTTTATGTAACCGTAGATATATTTTCAAAAATTACAGGTTTTCTGTAATTTGTATTCACTGATGTATATCATTTCAGGATATTTCCTTAAATTGATGGTAAATTCTCAAAGTGTTCTCCATCTGACCACTAGATAATGAGTTACTCAGACAATCAATTTGTCTGATTTTTTTAATATAGCAGGTGTTATGTTCTGCATTTCTCGTCTTTATTAGTTCACTAATATTATCAGGTATGTTAAAATATTCTAGTTTTTGAGAATAACATTTAATGGATTAAGATCAGATGGTCTAGTGAGGTCCTGTACTGTTTTGAATTTGGGTAACCAATTGCAGAGTTCAGTGAATAATTTGGAGACTAGAGCATTGAAACAGTTCCAAAGTTAGTTATCACTCCCCAAGGCAGTCAGTTGCAAAGCCAAGCTTCGATATCGACCGCCGACGAGATTCGTCCTCTATTTCCCACTGCAGCTTCCACTGCAAGGTAACAAGTTGAACATTAGAACACAACATATTCATGGTTCAACCCCAGTCAACGCTGTTTCGTCCACCGTGGGTCTCGTCAGCGGTGCTAGGCACAAATGTATTGCTAGATTCAACTTTCCTTAAAAAACAAGCCAGAGTAAATAAGGGCGGTGACATCTCTCCTTACAAAGACGCCATTTATGGGATCAAAGCTCTGTAAACATATTTGAAGTGTTAATCTGTGGTAGGTATAAATTTCGATGGTCACAGTACTCATTCATTTCTATGTCAACATTTATCAAATTTGCCATAATTTTATCTGTTCCACAATCTATTCGTGTTTTCACCAATGACCTCATTCAGTATCATGTTTTTCAGCTTTCTCTCCTTTCACTCAAAATATTTGATTATAAAAAATGCAGGCCAATACAAAAATATCGTCCAGAAAAGGCATTTCACAACAAAACAAGCCACTCTGTCTAGTTTTTGTCTGTTTGGTAGAATTCGAGTTTCGAGTTTGTTTTCGTAACCAAAACAAGTTTTTTGTTTTTGAAAACGACACTAGTCACAAGCAAGTTTGTTTGGTGGAAATCAGCCTCTAAGTAAAGTTCAAATGTATCAAAGTCAATTGTAAATTAATACATATTAATAATAAGTATACGTATGTTTTGTAGTCCTGCGATATGATACCTCCTACTTATGAGGGTAAGTACTCGCCCCCTTACCCAAGTTTACTATTACAACAAACAAATAAAGTGAGTATCTTCAAGAACCCTTCATCAATTTGAGAAACAATACATTTTTCCGAAATTATTTTGAAGTAAATCTCTAGACAAGTATCCTATAAAAAAATTATAATTTTCTTCTATGTCACTATTTCACCGAATGCATTTAATCTTTGTGATCAAGTGTTTTTCAGCATACATAAAGTATTGTGCACATAACTGACAGTATTGTTACCATAATATTGCTACTTTAAAAAATTAATGAAAAAAATTTGGTAAGATAAACCACAAATACAGACTTATATAAAATTATTTCCATTCCAGGATTCTGTTAGTAGATCATTAAAGTTGGCAGGTAATAATCATGAATCATAATGAAAATCAGTTGTGGAATATTTTCAGAGAAACCTTTCTCAAAACTTATATCAAAATTCATTATTAACAAATATGATTCATCTCCATTATTTATTAAAACATTAAATAATGCAAATAGCAAAGAGGGGTTAATGAATGACAAAAACCTGAAATAAATCTAACATAAAATTGTGTCAATTCATTTGGATATCAATCTAAGAGGTATGTCATCAACTTAACGGTTGTATGACACACAAAAACTTTGAAAAGATTTATTAACAAAAATGTTGATTATTTGAATAGTTTTCAGATTTCTTTCAGGTAGATTTAAATTTTTAATCAACCATGACAATTATATGGACTGTTCAACACAGTTGCTAAAAGTTCTTAAGTTACGAAGTTACTCATGACAATTAATTTTTTTCTTATAACTGAAATATTTTTAAAAACAGTGGAAAAACAATTTCTCAATTTTTCACCTACATAAACGATTGATATTGTCAGAATTTCAAATATTTTCACAAACATTTTGAGAAACATTTGCTTGCTAATATAAACTAATAACAATAAATTGGTGGAAGTAGCCATTACTATGTGGTAGGAAATCATAATGAAGAAAAGAGAAACCATCTTAGTCATTTATGAAAATAAAATAAGAAAAATGCTCAATGCTCACACTAATTTATTTACTAAGGTGGTCATCAGACACAAAACTTAACACTTTTATTTGTAACTAACGTTACTGCAGTTTCGTCCTAGAAGGACATTTTCAAACTTATACATTAATGTAGTTACAAATGAAAGTGGTAAAAAACGTATAAAGTTTCAATTCTCTTTTCTTCATTAAACAAATAACATTTGCCACTTCAATTTCTTTCATACATAACATTAAATTTGCTTGAAAATGTATATTTTCTCGGAAACATTATAATTAAGGAAACCAAAAGACACAAAAGAAACAAAACTGAACTAAAATGTTGTCAAATTTATATTACTATAAAAAAATAAGGTATGCCACCTTATGACATTTAGAATGTGCCTACCATAACTTATTTCATGTTTGTAATTTGTGTATTGCAAAATTTTCAAAACTTGCCAACATTATTTTCATATGTGATGGAATTGGCCTCTACTTGATGAAAGTCCATAACGTATAAATAACGAAGAAATTTTTCGGACTCTTTTAAATAGGCATGTATGTAATTAATGAAAATTATAGGAGTTTATGTATCAATTAACTACTAATTTCCACTTCAAAAAAGATTTAATAAGGGGATTTAATAAGAAAACCACAAGTCAACTTATATACTCCTGAACTATTCAACACTGAAGTTTTGTCTACATTGTTTTCGATAATTTTGCATAAATTATTACTTGTTCTGTAAGGTGGGTCTACAAAATGTATTGAATGTTCAGTGAAAATCTGATACTAAAGTGTTACTTGAAACATAATTTTCATTTTTTGACTTACAACTTTTTGTAATATTGTAATATTGGATGAAGGTCTGCAGCATGTTTGCAGAGTTTTTCTTACCAGTAGTGAGTTCCTGTAATAGTCGATTTTGAGTTGATGAAACCCAATAATGAACTAGAAAGCCCAAACCTTTCTATCCCAATAAACTAATAGTGAAATATCACTATAAAAAGATCTTTATGAAGTTAAATCTACTTTCAAGATGAGTACAGAGGGAAACAATACATACTACTACACTCTTCTTCAGAACTTGCGTCAGGTTTCATGGAATCCTGTTTCTCAGTAGGAGACAGACCTTCTACGCTCAACGGATCTTTTCCAAGTTCTACTGGACTTCCATAGAAAGTACTGTGGCCAATTTTTTTGCCTTCCGTATTAATAACACTAATATTGCTGTCTGACTCTTGCAAAACCTCTGAAAGAGCATTAGCCAATTCTTCCAAATCACCATTCTTGAAATTCAAAGTTGGTGTTTTACTTATACCAGGAGTATCCCCAACAAAACAATACTCATCACTTGTTGCTATTGACTCGTCAGATTTTACACTTGAATTATCCTCCATAATCAACTGAAATAAATTGAAAATAAATCAGACTTTGTTTGTTGCAGAGTACATAATGTCATATCAGATTTGTCAGTCCATAATGTACTGAACTTACTTATTTATGAAAACTATTGCTATTCCCAAAATCTAAAGAACCACATTATTGAATGCCTATGAAAATGTAATATCTTGAAAATTTCTCATTAAAACGAAAATAAAAATATTTGTGACAGTGACGTTTTACATAAATCATTGCATTTTACATTACGTATATTACACTGATTACACATTACACAGATGTCAAGTCATTCATTCCTCACTATTTTTCTTTCTCTTTGAGCTGCCTATAGACGTGTAAAATTATTGCGCAATATTTTGGTTTGTGCAATATAATTGTTCGTCTAGGGGCAATATTGAAAGGTTGTGCAATATATTGTGTGATTTTCAAAATCTTGAAAATATATTGTACAAACAGGATAATATTGTGCCGTATGTTGGCAATATTGCGCAATAACCTCTCAGTTGGTCTCTGGCGGTCGCCTGAATTAGTAATCTCAAAGCAAACATGAGTGACAAGAAAGCCGAAAAACAATTCATTGTTGAATTTATTGACGTGTATCGTGGTCTTCCGGCTTTGTGGGATGTGAAGAGCAAAGATTATAGTAATCTCCCTATCAATAAACCACTGTTTGGCCCATTTTCTACCTTTCTGAGAGCCTTTTTTTCGTTTTTTATGACTTGCGGCCATGGCAATTATCACGCAACACAAATTTTCATAACTTAACATGTTGACTTCATGAAATTGTAGAGACTGTTGTTTGCACAATGTGGTTGTTGTCTGTGCTCACAATTGTGCAACATATTGCACAACCTTCAATATCGCCTACATACGGTACAATTTTTTGTACAAACCAAAATATTGTACAATGATATTGACGATCAAGGAGCCACCGTCAAAATATTGTGCAACCCAAATTGCCCAATAATATTGCACGTCTATAGGCCACTTTAGTTGTATAACTTTTGTCTTAAGTGGTTAAGTTAGGTTTAAACTCTAGTTTAGGTAAACAAATTTTAAATCTCCTGCAGCATTTCGACGTTTCATTATAACAATTATATTCATTGTTGAAAATTTGGCGTTTTCTAGGAAATTTATGAACAGTTGTTGGAAGGTTTTTTTGTGGTTGATTTCCAATTGACATCAGAATAATAACCAGAATTACTTATATCAAAGAAATGTCAAGAATATCATTAACAGTATTTTGACAAGCACACCAGTATCAAAATCTTACAGAAAACACTGCTAATGAATTTTTTATCATAGAACATTATCTGAATAGATACCTGGAGACTGATTCTTTATATGAGTACAGTCTATAGCACCTATTACATTTGTAAAGCTGGCAATTTGAAAAAAAAATTATGTATTAGATTAGCTATTCCTTCAGATACACTTTTTATTTATGAAAGCTACTGAAATCAGATGCGACTATCATATAAGTTCCGAAAACGTAAAATCTCAGAGTTTTTAATAACTGGGATTCGAGCAGTGATAAAAAAATAACAATTACATTAATTTCGAGTTGTGAATATGTAAACTCAACTGATTAGTTAGTCGTTTGAATAGATTCCCAATTCGGTTCAGCACCACTTTCACAAATTGTTTATAAATTCTGAAACATATAATGAATTCCGTATCATCCTAAGAGCAATATGATTTGTTCTCTCTCTGAATATTCGGAGCCGAACAACAATTTCTTTGAGAATTTTTGTTTTAAATGTGTCTGGTTCTTTCAATCACTAAACTAAAAATGTACATAAACTTGTAAAAATATGAATTTTTCCATCATGGAACATTAAAAGGTTAACAAGTCACTTGCATCTACAACATAAATTAACTTCACCTACATTAATTATTGCCAATGTCACAGACTGTGACCAGTAATATTTATTAATATTTTCTTTGATAATACGCATATCCAACCTGATCTAAAATGACCTATAAATAGTCATATCTCGGAGGAATAAGTCCACTAAAGGGTAAGGGAGCTGGGCTCCAACCAGAACGAAATAAAGCTGCTTGGCCAAATAAGTCCAGTTATCACCAGAAGACGATTGTGGATACTAACAACCGAAACGTCTTGACGTAACTTGGTTTGGAATCTTTTAATTTTTATTTTTCATTTTTTGTTAATATTTTTTAATTTTCAGGTTTTATTAATATTTTAATTTTTATTTTTTTGGTTCTGTATGTCTCGTCCATGAAGTACAATTTTTTTTGAGCTTCCGAAATTCGTCAATTTTTCTTAGATAGTTTCTTCTCCATGCTATCTATAATTTGCCACAACCTACAACTCTACTGCTTACTATATTTTGATTCTGCTATAAACTGCTATAAACGGTAACGTAAAATTTAGATATGACAACGCCCTTTACTCTCAATCATTATTGGTTTTACTATAGATGATAATCCCATATAACAAAACTTCATCCATTTACGAAATTTGAGTGAGCCTTCAGGGCAGGCGCAATAAAGTTTCATGACGTTTCCAAATCACATGGGCGTATCGCAGGAAAGGGGGATTTTTTAGGGATATCAAGTGAAATACTTGGTTTTCATACTTATGTTCATAGAGAAATATGAGAAACAAAAATAAACATTTGTATTATATACGTACTCTGTATGACTCTTCCTGATATCTATGGGCGAGCAGTAATAATATTAATACCAAGCAAAGCTCAGTCACCCAGGTACTCATAACACAAACAGAAATATGTTGTATAGGAGTGATTAATTTTTGGGAAAGAAAGGTTTTGGCTTTCTCTCCATCTTGATACAAAAAAATGTGGGAATCTTCCAAAGAAAGGAAGGAAGCAATCAATTTTGAAAGAAGTAACTCTATACATAGATGTGTAGATCATGCAAAGAAGTAACTTTCAGACACAAACTGGAAGAAAAAGCCCTCCTGAAACAGCTACTTCCATATAAACATTGAATTACACGAAAGAAAAAATTCTTTCAAAACAAATACTTCTATATGAACAATGAATTATACAAAAAACACTTTTCTCCACTCAAATTGGATTCCAATTAGATTGTGATGTAACATCAGTAGAAATAATACTAAAATAATAATTGCAAACCAATGATAATGATACATTAGTATACATAGATTCGAACAATTGAGTATGGATTTGATTTTGTTTAATGAAATAGAGAAGTAAGTGTTCCAGACTACAATACTATATTCCAATGAGTCAAATAGGCACAGTTCTCAGCAATTCACGTAGTGAATGTAACTGAATATTATTACTTATTTTCAGTGGAAAATACTCAATGCAATTTGTCAGGAAATTGCACTGTTATTCTCAGTATATAGTGTAAAAACAACATCATGTTCCAATTTTCATTCATTTCAAAAAAATATTAGTTTGGAAAATTGTTTTCTGATCACAGCATCCCTTTCAATTTCTGTTTGTTTCTTTGAAACTTCATGAAATCTCAATTTGATGTAAACTTGTATTATGAGCTTGATAAGAATTGATTTATGGTTTTCTGAAAAAGTGACAGAATCTTGATAGCAATCATTCAGATCTGAAAACACATCCTTTTTAAAACGCATAAATGGCAAGTAATATCGAAGATTGAATTTCTGGAAAAAAAATTTGTGATTTGGTAATTTATTACCTGTTGTTGGTACAAATATTTTGATCTGTAATTCTACAAAACTTATAACTGAAACAACAGCATCGGATGGTTTGATCAATCCGCCCCTGTTGTTCCTACTTATCAATATAACTGTGTGAAATCTATACAATCATATCTTGTCGTATTCACAACAACTTTCACTGCTAACAAACATTTTGCACATGTAATGACAGTTTTGATTTTTTTGATTACAAAATCAGCTACGTAACCAAAACATTTTCAGTGATTATATCAAAGAAGGATGCAAATTCTTGGCCATAATTGTGATCATCTATTACTTCCTCATGATTAAACCCATACTTCTTTATGGAACCCAGCTCATCAATAGACACCTCTCTCTGTTTTGGTTTAGATATACTTTGGAGTGTTAAAATTGAAGTGGTGTCTAGACTCAAACAATTTCCTCCACCTTGGTAAATGTCATGGTATAAAATTAATCTCTTGAAAGTATTATTGAACTGATATGGCGTAGGGTTGTTATTAGAACCATTTCGAGATCTGAAAAAAAAAGTTACTCAGTTGGTAATGCTAGAGTGCCATCTTTAATAATTTAAAATAATCAATAAGCAGCAATTGTAAATGTATTACCGTAATTGTATATTTTATTTACCAATTTTATTTAAAAAATCTCACTTCATTAACAACTGTGACTGTGTGAACTTTAAAGTTGGTATTACATGAGGTTTAAATGTTCTGAGCCTTCCACGTAGAGGTATAAAACTATCGGGGGTAAAGTGTTCAGAACATATTCTCCTTGAAGAATGTGGAAGGGTATCTCATGGTCTTTTGATGGCTTCTAATCATTCACTGTATCTATCTTCAGGAATCCTAGAATAATGCAATAAAATTACAGTCAAATGTAATTTAATTTGTTCTATAGCCTTGCCAGAGCCTTGCATACACTAATTATTAGAAAAATCAGGTAAAGTCTAGTATTGTGACACACTATATAAATATATAGCTGACCCCTTATTAAGACTTTATAGACGTGTTGCTATTGATTTAACAGTGAAATAAAAACGATTTTTCATAAATATTGTGACAAACTATAATTATTCATTTCCTACCAAAATGTAAGTATTAAGGGTATTTTAAGGTTACATTGAGTAGAAAGGTTTGGTAAGGTTCGATCTGGTTAGGTTAGGTTAGTTATACTATTTATGCTTCATATATAGTGTGTCACAATACTAGACTTTCTCCTAAAAATCCTTTTTTAGCATTATAAATCATCTTTTCAATTCTAAGTACTACACTTATTTCTATACTTATATTATTATGCGGAATTTAAGTTTTCCCATTCTATAAATCCTTATTGGGTTAGTAAACATCTACAATTACTTTTTAGAAATAATGGTAATTTTCAATCTAGTACTAGCTACGTGAATCCAATGTTGTAACTATTGTGAATAATTCAAAGGACTTTCACCTATAAATTCTGAAATAATTATTATTGTATTGGATATTAATGTTTCTAGAATTATAACTGACTTACTTATGGAATGTAACACCTTTTGGGTGACTCAACGAAGAATTCCTACACCAAAGTACGAAACACATCATTCTTTTACGAATAACTATCAAGCCGACGACGCCTATGAACAAAATGGTCGAATCCTTGTGTCAACGTCTGAAATGATAGTCTTTGAGCCTTCTGCGCATTGCGCAGACACGTTTTCATAAATTCAATTGGGATGAATTTTTCGAATATATGGGATATGACCATTAGCAGTCTAGTTATAGGTTATGTCGGTGGTATATACTTCATATTAGGTTATGAAAATTAGGATTTTCTAAGGGATCACGTTTGCCTGTTTATCGGTTTGAAAAATTGTCAAATCTGAATTAGTTTCGTGAACAAACTTTATTATTGTCATGAAGAGAGTGGTGACCAATTGCTAAATTAACATTTAACAACTGACTTCTCTCTCCCAAAATTAGGTTATAAAGTATTAAATAATCCATCTCTCTCATTTCCTTAAAGCATCTTGCCAAGAAAACTATCGAAGGTGGTCCCATGAAAAAGAATTTCATTTCAATGGAAAATATCAAATTTCAATTATAAAAATAAAACTATTATTTTCATAGTGAATAAATGTAATACCTTAATTCAATGTAAACAAAATACACCTAGTACCAAAGTACGGTCAGCACTGATCTCAAAAATTAATTGAATGAAACGTTATCCCAAAATTCAAACATTAAACTTACTGAACAAAATGAATAATAAATTCAAACTAAAAGTAAATTCTCGATCTGAGAAAATGAAATTAAACATTGTTTTCGGTTCCCAGTAAAAATAACAGTTTAAACCAATAAGGTAAATTAACATACTGAACAACTACTGTATTATCGATGTCCTATTGTGAGTGATTTATAATTCGAATCATGATTCGATTATTTAAACAATTCGATAGCTGATAATTCAATTATCAAAATAATTCGATCATGCCCATCAATAAACAAAACACGATCGATTTCGACGTTTGTTACTGTCAAGAAGCCAATTTCTAGAAAAAATGGGAGAAAACATTTGACAACTATTGTTCTTTTATAATAGATTCGTTTACTTCTCAATCTATACATGCCAAATCGTTGCTATGAATGTTCAATTTCATTTGTTCACATAAACTAGATTATATTTATTTCATCTACAATTTCAATATTTGTATTTACAATTACAATTGAAACAACTGAGAGAAAATAAATGACAAAGCCTCTACTACAGAAACATGCATTTTTCTATTTTTGATTTTCATGTGTGGAAACTATTACAGAAATGTTTTTAACTGTTATGTTCTGTGCACTGATTCGGAGTCAATTCGGAACGTTTCTGTAATCTAACAACGAAATACATAACCGAAACAAACCCATTATTTTCAAAAAAAATGTTTTGTCACCTTGGCAACATGGCAACTTTAGTACTAAGTACTGATTGGAACACTCGGAAGGGCAGCTTTGGAAGTGAAATTTAATTAAAATTCGTTTACCTGTGCTTGCCCCACATTTGATTTCACCATATTATGCAAATTTATTTTTTTTGTAAAGTGAAAAATAGTTTTTCGGAAAATGGTACCCTGATTTCCACAATTCATCAGTTTTTTCGATTCACCAAAAATTTCACATAAATCGAATAGTTGAGTAGATCTTCAGTCTGTCGGTAAATAAAAATGTATCTTTCTTAATTTAGTGAAAAATTGATTTTGGAATACTCCCGAGAAGCCATATCTGTGACCTGAAATGGCCACTTGAAATAAAGCTAGGAACATCGACTAGGAATTCTTAGTAAATGTCAATATAAGCATTAATTTTATAGAAAAATGTTATTAAAATCTTTAGTTTCACAGTATTTTTAACATATTTCACCCATTTCAGGATGTTTTATAATATCTATGAGACTTTCCACATCACAAGACTCCGGCAGGTCGGCCATCACGACAGTTTGTGGCAAGCTTGGGTAGTGGGTATGTGGTAAGTGAGTGTATGTTGTGTTGCTCCGTATTTTTCGCAGTTCTTATGTGGATTATTCAGCAAAAAACACAGGTAAAGTTAAATTAATAACATTAATCTCACATCTACTCGAAATTGTATAATTTATGTCAATGAAAACCCAAGTAATAAGTAGAATAAGACAAATCTCAATGAGCTTCACTTGAAAGGCTAGTATGCAGTGCCCGCCATGTTGTGAAACCACTACAAAATTCAATTTTTATTATTAAAAGTAATCCTTTTCAAAGAAAATAGAAAAAATATATGATATTTAATGTTTAGTTATTAAATGATTGAAGATATAAGTTATTTTCCCGCGTACAGCCGTCAAATTCAGAGGTAGTGAATATGAAAAGGCGTCCGTTGGCTCGGAAGTACATATAACTCGTTGAGTATACGCGGGATACTCTCAAGGTCTCTTCTAGTTTTGCTAGACTTTTTAGAGATAATAAAATACAAACGATATATGTATTTGTTAGTAGCAAGTGGTGGTGTAAATTCTGTTATTTATAAACACCAAGTGTACATTATGAACTGCAGTGAAATACCTACCAATCTTCTATATGTTTAGTGATAATTCCTTAAAAAAATCATTGAATAAGTATGATTTTGATAAGATCATTTTGAATATTTTGTTGGGGGTGTGGCGTTTGAATGTAAACAACATTTTTTGAAGATTTCGTTAAATTATTTTCTAGGTCATTATTTATGAATTTACTATCAGCCATTCTCATCCCTCATAAACATGCTACCTGTGATCTTTAACGTCTTGATGGCCTATTGAAGTACTTTTGGCATTGGCATCACACAAGTTTCTCAACTTCTGAGAGTTGTCGTTCGTATGGGGGCGACAGCTGATTAATGGAAAAACAGATTTTAAACAGACAGATTGATTCGTAATCTAAAGATGAAGAACCAAATTTGATCTTTATAATAATGATTGACTGCTTGTATCCTTGAACAATTTCTCAAGATAAGTTTGCTAACAAGCTGCCCAAAAAGTATGGTTTTAAAGTAACTTTTCGAGGTAATCTAGGGAATAGTTTATGATAGGTATATCCTCTTTAGTAATATAATAACACATTTGTATGGATGGGAAAAATAATCGCTAGTAAGTGATTGTTTGAATGATTCGGTATAGTACTTTCGGACATATACCCAATTGATATTTTGGCTAGAAATTGTGTTATGTTGTGTTGCCCTTATATGTGTGTTGCATGTCAGAGTCAAATTTTAAGTAATGCTTAGCAAATTTTAACCTGATGGTAAGAACTATGCCTAGATGTGCAGATAAAGAGCGAGTAGGTATCAGATGTATAAAGACGAGGTTGTTATTAGGCATAATACTTTTCAAACTTGAGAGATATTGGTAAGGGTAATTGCATGTTTCAAATATATTTTTGTTTTTGAGTTACATACTAGGACTGTAAAATTTCCAGTCTTTGCTATTATCACTATCTCAGAGAATCACTTTCATTTGAATTAAATAGAATATCTTCCACAACTCCTTTTTTTAGGTTAGATCAAAAGTGAGTGGGTCTTTTCGACCCTTCACCGCAACCCGTAAGAGTTTATTGTGGCTCATGCCTATTCACACTCGACCAAAAAAACCCAGCTTCTTAACGAAGCCAATTAGTTTGTAAGGTGAGTGGTCTTTCAGGTCAGATGGTAAGAGTACGGCTCTGCCAAACTCTGAAAACCTGATTTGGTCCCCAACAAGGCAGACACCAAGTATGTGCTCTGCTGTTTCATCATTTTTCAGAGGTGACACACACTGTCTCCAGATAGTCCGAGTCTCTGCATATGATGATTCAAATGACAGTGACCTGTGAGAACTTCTGTCAGACATCATAGTTCATCCCTACTGTAGTCCAACAACTGTTTGCTATCAAGCTTCGAAGGGTGAATAGACGCCTTGGAGTGAGCCAATCCTGGAAGATTCTGTCAGAGGTCCATAAATCTGCTTGCCATCTAGGTGTTCAATGTTTGTTTGGCAAAGCCTAAAGTGATGCCAATGACAGGTTCTGGTCTGATGAAGCTGTTTGCAGTACCCTCCTTTGCAAGGGAATCAGCAGCCTCATTGCCTTCCAGGCCAGTAAGGCCAAAAATCCAGACCAGAGATAATCTGTTAAGTCTTCCTATCGAGGAGAGTCATTTTTGGCAATTTGCTACCAATTTAGACATTGCTCGGTAGGAGCCAAGAGCTTCCAACGCCGCTTGATTATCCGAGAATGTTTTTATTGACTTGTGAGTAAGGTTGGATTTATCCAATCTCTCCGCACACAATTCAATAGCGTGAATTTCTTCTTGAAATACAGTCGCATAGGTTTCTAGGCAGGTTGATATCTATGTCCATCTGCTACTGAAAACATCTGCACCACAACGTGAAGGTGTTTTTGATCCATCTATGAATCCAGTCAAGGGTAGGGAAATTTTCAAAGGATTTGTTCACTTATGACTCTATTCTTTTAAGGTTAAAATCGACATTACTCTAAGCAAAATGTTGCTCCTGAGAGGCCAGAACAAGTTCTTTTGGATTTAAATTTAGGTAAAATTTACTTTCAACATTGTGTCGGCAAAAGGAATATTGTCTTTAAGCTATTCTTTCATTTATTCTTTTCTACTACCAAAGTGGGTTGGGGGGTGGGGACACATTTCGCTTTCTACATTATGGTAGGGTGCAGCAAATTAAAAATGAGCTATTCCTAAAGTCATTTTCTATAATTACAATAATTTATTCCACTGAGATAGTCAGCAGTTTTTGTTTGAGACAGGCGTTTGGAACAAAACCATTTTTACTGATAGCATTAGTAAGAATTAGCCTTTACCCTTTAGAAATTAGTGTGCGAAGACCTTCAATTTTTTTTTGTTATCACTCCAAGCTTTTTCGCAGGTATGTGTTGAATGGATATATGTTCAACCATGTAAATTATTTTTTGATTTTCTTCATATCTTTTCAAAAATGGACTCTTTTCTGCTAAATATCAGGTTTCTCCATTGAATCTTTTTGGTTTGTTTTAATTTTTTTTAATGAAAACACTATTTCATGCATAATTCTCTGAAGAATCTGACCAATTATCCTCTTGAAACTTTCTATGGGTGGTACGTGAAGTAAGCCCTCTCTTATTTATTTATTTATTTGGTATAAACTGGAAAACCTTAAGTTACAATGTTGTAAAATATACATATATAAAAATATACTTCAATTAAAAAACAGTTACATCATTTGTACGAATATTGAAGTATATAAAATAAAGAGCAACTTAAAAACTAAATGCTAAATAAAACAATTATAACTAACACTAGCAGTAAAAACTAACAAACATACAAGGCATACATCTATAGACTAATTACATAATTGACTGCAGACTTTTTAAAGACTTCCAAGGAGTGAGTAAAAAATCAAGTTCTGATGCATTAGGTTCCCTTGACATTCTTAACATTGGACTATTGAATCCATTATTGGTAGAATATGAGATTTCAATGAAAATCGCTTGATTTGACTCTCGGGCCAACCAAATTGAGATGTTCTGGGCACTTGATTTGGCCTGACAATAATTCAAACAGAAATATTAAGTCAGCCTGACTCCGCCTGTTTTTCAATGTGGTTAGATGTGGTGTAGAAAGAATATCGGTGTAGTTCAGTCACCGGTCCATTTGAACGCTCATTTTGTAGGCAGCAAACACAAAAATGTATTTCGAACGTTTCCAGAGACTTTTTGTACACTAAATAAAAGGGACACCACACAGTGGATGCATATTCTAAATGTGACCTAATTAATGAACAATACAGAATTTTCAATGTGCTTGCCAATAAGTCTTTAGCGATCCTATCTACATATCCAAGAAGTTTGAATGATTTCAAGGTTATTTTATTATTATGGGATATAAATGACAAATTTTTATCAAATATAACGCCAAGATCTTCAACTTCATCAACTTGATTCAAGGGCAAAGAGTTCATGGAGTTTTCATATGTGATAGGTGTCTGAGAACGATTGAAACACATAACTAGACGTTTGTTAAGATTTAGTTCCAAGCAGTTATTTCTACACCAATGGTTCACATCTTGAAGTTTCAATTGATTATTTGGTTACTTTTGGTCAATAGCCATACTTAGTGTGTGAAGTAAATATAAAACAAAAATCCATATCTTCAAGAAGTTCTCTGCAGGAGGAAAATAAATAATTAATATATCTTGTTCAGGATATCTATATAGAGAGATTTCCCTTCTGATTAGTCCATCGTCATTAACAACGGTTCCCTCGTACAAGATGTCAAATATTGTTATCTTGATGTGAAGTACAGGCTTACCTCAATATTCTTGTCAATGACATTTATTGAATTCACATCCGACGGCGCATTTAGAGTCAAAAAGTGACTCTCCAGTCTACTTTCAAAGATATGGTTACTGAAAACTCAGAAACTATCTCATACTTCGGATTTTTATTCACTTACCATTACCATTTTTTCTAATATAAAACCATTAATTTCTTCAAAATTGTATCTCTTTGAACGAACTATATTATAATTAATAAAAGTAAATGACACTTTTTATGAGTCTTTTCATATTGGGTGAAACGATAAACATGTCTGCCATCGAATAAAGAACCAAGTATAATCTAAACTGAGATTTCTGTAACAAATAATTAAAAAATTCTGTGATGTGTTCACTGGAACTAGTACAATGTCAACTTGTGTGTGTGTGTGTGTTGGAAATGTATACATAATTATTAAAAGAAAAGTACCTTTTACAAGTTGACAAATAAAGTTGTTATTTTGTGAGTCAAACTCACAAATTTTTGTATGTGTTTGCCTATTTGTGCACTATCAAGAATGCAAAAAAGTCTTTGAATATATTGTATAAACCTCATTGATACAGGTTATTGTATGATTTTCACTATAAAGGGTCTTACAAAAACCGCGACACGTGTTTCGCTATACAAAAGCTTTCAACAGCTTTCTCTGGATTTAATAATAAAATTTTATTATTAATGCTTGAGAAAGCATTTGTATAGCGAAACATGTCGCGGTTTTTGTAAAACCCTTACGTGAAAATCATACAATAAACTGTATTAATGAGTTTGAATATGGATTTTCATCAAGTATCCACCAGTTTTAGTCAATCAGAAAACATTTTAGTGAAAATCACGAAATGAAGTCTAAAACTTGTAAATATTTGTGGCACAAAATTTTCATTGAATTTGAAGGTGGTACCATGGACCTGCCAATAGAAAATATAATAGGAAAAGTATATTCTTATGACACTTTTGAAAATAAACTTAAGGAGTTACCAATTTGTATATATACAAAAAAATAATAAAATATTCAGAATATACAGCTTTCAATATTCAATACAAAATTCTTATCTTTCTTGGAAGTTTAAGATAAGAACAGATGTGATCTATCACAAAAAAATATTCGATCTTATTTTTACCACAGTTTCTATTATCTGTTATTTCAGAATTATTAGATCAGAAAATTTTGATCAGTAGAGATGAGTTTTTTTTTTCAATTACAGATTCCAATAACAATGCTTTTTACTTTGCAATGATATATCCTGAAGAATGGGATATTATAAACTATACACAAAGAAGTTTCCAAGCAGCTGATTGATAGGCCCAGGTCACGTATTTTCTTTTCATTTGGTAAGTTCAGTAATCATTCTTGCTTCTTTACTGTGATTTCCATTGGTTTTGAAAACATTTCATCCCAGATTTTTTTTAGTCCCTATTACTGAAACTTCAAAGATTGTTAGACTCTTTTTGCATTGAATTTTAAGGAATAAATGTGTCATAAACTAGTATACAGCGTGGCCCACCACATTCGCCTTGGTATTTCTACGAGAAATGAAGAGAGTTACGAAAGAAACTTTTAGCACAGTCATATGTGTGTCCATGAGGAGCATATTCCAAAATCATTTTGAAATATATAGGGTGACTCCCAAAAAAGTTATATACCAAAGTTATATTTTTTCTTTTTTTGGGAGTCACCCTATATATTTCAAAATAATTTTGGAATATGCTCCTCATGGACCCACATATGACTGTGCTGAAAGTTTTTTCGTAAATCTCTTCATTTCTCGTAAAAATACTGAGGCGAATGTGGTGGGCCACTCTGTATACCTGACATTGTTTCTTTCTCCTTTGAAATATTTCACAAATCATTGAAGTGTATGTGAATAAATATCCACTTTCCTATATTGAGGAAAATATTTAACACATGTGGAGGTTTGTTTCGTGATAATAAGTTTTGAGAATAAACACAAATAGGTGTCATACAGATCTTACAGTTCAAGAACATAAGAACTTTGTTTCCTCAATCATACTTGTTTAAATTTTATATTCATTCAATTTCTGAAGATACAGTGTGATCAATGTCAAAAATTAAAAAAAATCCAATTTTTTTATCTGACCACACCACCAGATTAATGTAGTTTGGGAATAATTGTTTCTGTAAAATTTAAATAAAGTTATAAGGGTAATAACTTAGTTAAATATGCCATTTAACTATCCCACCAATTCAATTTTAGAACTTTCATCGGAATGTGTTCATCATTTGACAAATCAAATTAAATATATTCATCACCGAAGTCCATACAAATGTATAAAAAACATCATATAAACTATGACTAGTCCATCATAACAGAACTTACAAGCTTCAGCGGTACAAATACAAAATAAGAATATATTAAAAGTCAAGAAAATATTGAAAGTTACAAGAATACAAACATAAAATAAGTATATATTAGTATGTTGAAGATAGAGATGATAACATTGTAGTTTCTTAACTACTTTTAAAAAACGTTTCAGATTAAAGTTTTTATTAATTCTTTTCTATATTTTCTAAACAAAACTATCTCCTAGGAACACCTAGCATACTCCATTTGAAGGAAATTGTAGGGCATACCAAACATTGAAGCCTCTTGTTTCTTTATATTTACAGTAATTTGCATTATATACAGTGAAGGCAGTGTAAGAATTTGTAACTGTGAAAAATAACTGTTTACATGAAGTCCTCTGATGAGCTACCACAATGGACCTATTAATTTTTTTTCTGCATAAGAAATATTTATTGACATGAGCTAAATTGCTCTAAAATATCAGACCATATGTTATAGGGACTGGACAAGTCCATAATATGCCAATTTCAATACTTCCAAAGATACTGTTCTTTGTAACTGCCTAATTATAAAGCACATTGTGCTAAATTTTTTTGCAAGAACATTGATGTGTTTCTCCCATGTCATTTTATGATCCATAATAATTCCAAGAAATGTTGCTTGTTCAATGCTAAGTTTTTTATTTTGACAATAATTATCGTTTGACATTTGGTCTTCAAATTATCAAAAAAAAACAGATACCATCCTCTCAAAATACATTTTGAGTACTGTCCATCAAACATAAGAAGTTTATCCAGTGGTATCCTATGAAGCTGTGGCCTATATTACTCAGTTTATGAAGAAACTCCGAAAAAGAAAAACTTTGACAGAAACTTCAAAAAATGACAAAAGAAAATTCTCAAAATGGCAGTCAAATCGATTACATAAAAGAAAAGGCAGATTCCATAACTTTAACAAGAAGTCAGAAGGAATTGCTCCCAATTCATTCACAAAAAGCCAGAAGGAATTCCTAAAAACATTTGATATTTGTGACCAAGACAGAAATGAGTGTGGTTCGTCATCAACTATGAATGAAGGTCTAGCGCCCTTGAAGAGGAAAACTTACTATTGAAAGAAGTTATAAAAAACAAAGAGACAATTATATTAAAAAAAATAAACCAATTGTATCCCACTCAAACAAATTCAACTACTTGAAGATGAACTAAGCAATTTTACATGTAAAAAATGTGAAAGCATGAAAGTTATCGAGAACAGCATTAAGATAATCGATGAATGAATCAATTCATTGCCAAATCAGAAGTTTCAGAGAAACATGCGGCCATCATATTCTAATGTAGTTTCTAATAATACTCTAACTAATCCTACAAATTCTCAACATACTTTTTTAATTAAAAAAAAGTCTACCCAAACTATAACAGAAACCAGAATGGATTTACAGAGAAATATATCGCTGTGCGAATTAAGGATAAATATAAATGAAATTGAACCTATAAAAATGGTGGACTGAAAATAATTTTTAGAAGTAAAGAACAATGTTTGAAATTAGAAAATGAAGTTAATATCAAATTGAATAATAGATATAAAGCAGATTTTCAGAAACTTACGAACTCAAAAATAAAAATTGTTGGATTGTGTCTAGAAAAGCAAATTAATGAAGACAAACGGGATAAGATCATAAGAGAGCAAAATTAATGAAAATGATTTCTAATCACACCATATTAGATATTTGGATCACAAAAGAACATATACCCCTTATGCAGAGGTAAAAAGTTCCATAAGAAAAATAAATTTTGGTGTACTGCAAGGATCTGTTCTTAGTCCACCTCTGAAGGGATCAGTTGAATTATTTGCTGATGATACAACAATAGGGAATGTTCCTCCTGACGAAAATCACGTAGTTTTCATAAAAGAGCTCTAAAACAACGCATTTTATTTAAACTTATCATTTCAACCTTTTTCTTTAAAAAATAATTTAAATACTTAAAAAAGAGGAATGAAATAATGCATTCAACATTTAAAGGGATTCGTTTCTATTTCACCATTTGGCAACATCGGTTATAGCTAATAAAGGACAATGAATCTGTTACCTGTATGAGACAAA